AAGTACCTAAGCATAGGAGATGAGCTATGAGATAGGATGAGACATATAGAAATTCAACATGCAGTCATCACCATCACATTAACACACCTATCTTGCCACAAAAAATGTCTCTCTAGATGATCGTGCTTCCTCTAAATAGAACAGAAAAGGCAGTCTCTCTTCCATCATGAGTTGGAATGATACAACACCTTTATTATTTTCGATTAGGGAGAAATAAAAAAAAATACTCAGTAAATTTCAAACCACAACCTCACATCTTGATTTATATGTATACATGTATGACATTTCTTCAAGCATACCTCTCAGTCTAAGTGTTTTAAATTATAGGAACCAACGAAAATACTAAATTACACAGTGAAGGAAAGCAGCTACTACTAACACAGAAAGGTTATCCTTCTATGGAACTACCTCAATTCCATCAACAGAATATATTCATGAGCAAATAATGATTTACAAAACAGAAATTTCAGGTGGGATTATTATTTTCTCAGCTGCTTTCATCCATGCAGAAAACTGCAATCATATATTTTAATTGAGAGCTGCTTTCGGCAGGCAGTTTATTACTTTTATCTGTAAGGATGAAAGAAGCAAAAGGCCTCTGTGAGCAAGGCAGACAGGGTTCATTTCTTTTATTTACCAGCAGTAGAGACAAATGTGGGGATGGAAAGAAAATGAACAATAGGGAGCACATCAACTTCTTGGCATTGTGAAAATTCCTCTCTCTACTGAAAAAGAGTGCCATCTTTCCATTTGCCAATAGCCATTTAATGAACAAGCCTTTCTAACAGAAAGCCCAAGACCTTGGAAAAAGACCAGGTATCAACCACAAGGAAAGCAACTGATAGGGAATATTTTTGGATGACAGAAATAGCAGATGAATAATGAAACATGTGAAGTATAAAATCCTAACCACTTATTTTCAGAAGGATAAAAGCAGCTACATTTATGCCCTTACTGAGAAAATAAAAATGTATATTAACTTTAAACAAGTTAGATGATCTGACCTGTGAAATCAGAAATCTTTTCATGACTACTAATATTCTATGCTTTAGACACTCTCGAAAGTGTGACAAAAAGAAAAAAAAGAAGCAAGACTCAGGGTTGAGAAATAAGAATCTAAGGAACAGAAAGGGGAGAAATTTTCAACATATGCCAGAATCACAATATTTCCTCTAAGAAAATAGTTAAAACAACAGTAAATTATCTGAAGGAAATCAATGTACCTAATACTTCTAGATGAGCTGTTTCGGCACTTCTTTCTTAGTTTCTAGTGCTGAATTTGTAGCAAAGAATTATCTATACTGTTGAGTTACTAGAAGACTGAAATGTATGCTTCAGGTTTAAACAACTAGTAAAACTAGTATGCATCAACTTGCTTCCATTCTAACACTTTCAGTGGCTAACTTAACCAAGCAGTATAAAGATGAATAAGCTTTAATACACTTCTATGGCCTATTTTATCACAGTCAGTCTCTATGATGTTTCATGATAATGAATTGCCAACACTACGTATCACTGAGTGTAAAAATTATTATTTTATTTATTTTGAATTTCCAACAGTTTACTTCCATTTAAACTCTGATTTTACAGTATAGTTCCAACTGTACTTTACTTTTTGAAGAGTTTTGTACCAAAGCTGGTATCTCCCAAACCTGTCTAAGACATAAAATCCAACAAGATTAATTAATTCCTTTGGTTCTTCAGCAAGATTTCTGAAAGTCTAAACGTTCCATTATTAGTCCTTTACCAATTTAGTGAATCCATTCTGTAGCCTACTTTCTACTTTTGCATATGCTTAGAAAAATTTGCTGTTTATTCATGGTTAGGTATGGACTAGCTATGGACCCCGCAGACTTGCTCTCAGTTCTGCTGATTGTATTTGAACACATACTGCCTGCTGTAGTTTATGGTAAGCTTTTCTGGACTCCATAAAGTTGGCTTCTCCACTTCTCAAGAGTATTTGGTTCCAATGATTTTATCATTCAGTCACTGCAAACTCATTCTATCCATTTTTTCCACAGCTACAAAACAGTAATCATCAATCGTGTCCCACCTGCATAGAAATTAATTATACATGTCTACTTTATAGTATATACATATGTTATGTCAGCATACATAGGCATACCCTGACTTAAAATGAAAATCTTAACTGTTCCCATGAAAAGAAAATGTAGGTTTTATTCCAAGCTTTTCCTTCAAATAAAATTTAAAAAACAAGCAAACTTTCTGCAAAGAAACATTACTAGAAGTTACACTGAATGTGTTTTGTATTTTTAAAGTTAATTGCATGATTAATTTATATGTATATATCACAAATAAATTAAAGGACTTCTGCTTTCCCATAATATTCCCATCTAGAGAGAGTCAAATAATTCTGAGTTTATCTGGCATAAGAGGAGAGGTGGGGTTGACTCTGGCCAGCAGCTAAGCACCACACAGCTGCTCACTCACTCTCTCCCATCACCCCATAGCATCAAGGGCAGAATAAGGAGAGCCAAAGCAGGAAAACTCACGTGTCAGTATAAAGATATCTTTGTAAGTGAAGGGAGGAGGAAGAAAATAATATATATATTAAAAAATATATATATTTTAAAAAGTGATGCAAAGACAATCGTGAAGTACCTCCCACAAGTAGACCAATGTTCAGCCAATCTCCAAGCAATGACTACGTCCATCCCCAAAAATCTTCCCTCAGTTTTTATTGCTGAGGTTGACACAATGTTGACACTATATAGTGTGAAACAGTGATTGTGAAGAGTAGGATAAACCTCTAGTCCAGATAGTGTCCCCTCCTAGCTTCTTGTATATCCCTCAGCCTACATGCAGTACACAGAGGGCCAGAATACAAAACAGAGAAAGTCTTGGCACAGCAATCACTGTTCAGCAATAGTCAAAACACTGGTGTGTCATCAGCACTGTTTTAGTCACAAATTAAAAACACAGCACCCTACCAGCTGTCAGATGTAGCATAGTAAATCACTGTAAAACAAGACCAGAAAATATCAAAGCTCTAGCTTCAGTGACATACTGTCCGTTTTTACCAAGCAGATGTTTCTTGCGTTTCCTTGGCATTGTCATCAGCCAAAGTCATGTACTGATTTCATTCATTTTCTCTACTCAAGATGGGACACGCACACAGCTTCAATACACCAACTTTTCGGGGAGATAAAAGATAACATTTCAGTTTCTACGCAAACCTGAGCCCTCAATGCCTCAGTACCACCAAAGGATACCCAACACTCCTGTCTTATACTTTGTAAATGGAGCTCTCTAATGCAAATTCTTTCATAAATCAAATAGCAGCATCTTGTGATCTTCCCAATAAACAAGCTGTTTGCTGTAGGGGATTTTGAAAATTCATTTTACTACTTTGACAACAGAAAGTTTGACTGCCTTTGAATTTGCTTTCAAAATTATACAGGTCAAGCTATTGCCCACAGAGTATTCTGGTTAACTTTGACAATGATGGATACCTTCATGACCATTTCCCAGATCCCTTATGCCTACACTTCACAACTGTCCTTAATGATGAATGACAGTCATCTGCATTGAATGACAATTTTCTAGCACTCTCATCCCTAAAGAAATGGCATTATTAGCACAGTTTCTTACTATAATTTATCAGACTGAAAAACATAGGGCTTCTGATTTACTAGATTCTTTATCAATGTGACAAGTACTAAACAGTTTGATTGTAAAAGATATCAAGTTCTTAAGTACAGTAAACTGCATTTTGGTTAATTTAGGAATTTTTTATTCTTAATGAAAATGGAATACGGAGAAGACACTGTTTTGATTTGAAACAGGTTTGAATATCCTAGCTGAGCCTTGAATAAATGCACAACTGACTGTTATTTTCTTTTAAAAGAGCTACTGAAAAATATCTTTTAAACAGAAATCTTGTTCTCACCACTTACTGTGGAAATTTTCTTTACCTAGTGAAGAGTTTTTTGTTGGTTTTTGCTGTTGTTGTTTTGTTTTTACCATATAGTTATATTTTTCCCTGTTTCAACAGGAACTGAAAGTAAAAAGACCCTTTCCAAACATTATCCACTCATGTTCACACTTTGAGAGAAAAGGATTCAGTTTAGGCCACAGTTCTTGGCACTGATTATTCATTATTGGCAGATCCAATTGAAGTTATTATAACAAATAATAATAGCTTAGATCAAAAATTATTGTTTCCATTACAGCAATAATAATAATCCATTCACAGTCCAGGAGTTGCTGTGCCTATGTTCTACAAACACTGAAGCAAACTACTCCATACAGAATAAAGTGTTGCACTTCTAACCCAAGAATTCTATAATCTAGACATAAATCTTCAAATAGAAAGAGACAAGACTATCAGGAACAATGAGAAAATACTGGTCAGCTTGGTGGGCAAGCAACATTAGCAACCTCGAGACCTGCATTTTGCAAGGCATCACATTAGTGACTTCTAACAAAACTTTTTAAGGAGAACAAGTTTCCTAAGGCTTTCACAAATGTTAACAAGGAACTCTTCCTGTATTTGCAAGAAGGCAAGTAAAAAATGCAACAGTTCCTTTGAAAAATAAGCAAGCAAATCTGAAACAACATGTCAAAGGAGAGGAAAAGCATCTTCTAATACTGAAGGAAACAAATTTTATTATTATTATTTGAACGTAGATGGAAATGAGTATACCTTTCTAACTGATCCCACACAATATATCCACTGCGTATCTCAGAAATATTTATCCATTTTGAGTTAAAGGGGGCAATTAGTTGTCAGAGAGTGTAGCAAGAAGTATGTGAACACTGATGCAGTAAGAGAAAGTGTGTGCTTGTAAATATATTTTAGAAGGATGGGAAGAAAAGTGCAAAGTGATATTTAGGTGAATCATAACAGTTGTACACCTACTACCAGATTGTTACAGACAGTGTTCTCCATTTGCTTATGCATCCCTCAACTCCAGAAGCTTTGTGCATGCTTGGATCTTTGGATTTCTGCCTCAGAAAGTATCCAATTTTCTACTTACAGGCTGATTCAGCATCTTTTGCATTGTTCAGATGTGCTTCTTGTGGAACAAATGACATCTTCTCCGAGTCTTGCAGTAGCTTCAGAAATACCTTTCAGAGAGAAGAAAAAATTATTTAGATTCAATTTTCTATAGACTACTTGTTTTTAAACCATTATCAGACAGTAGTAGGGGCTGCAGTGGCCACTCTGCTGGAGAATGACTATAAAATTATTCAAACACTCTGGAAGAGGTATCCCTGAGAATAAGGGGCAAGAAATAAATTCCAATATACTCCACCTATAAAGAGTGTTGTTGTCCTAGTCACCATCTATCTGATAAGAGTTTTCAATAGACTGGCTATGCTTTTTTGACATTTCATGCTCCTAAACTGTAGCATGTATAGGAACTCATTTACTTCAGTTTTTATCAAGGGTATATGGGCAGCTTCAAATCTTTTCTGATTCTCAAGCTGGAAATGCATGGACACATCTGGATCTGCTACCAGAGTTCTAGTTGTACCACTGCCATTATCATTCACCAACTGATAAAGGTTCTTTGACGTTAAATATGAAAAAGGAGATTAATTTTAATCAATTTTAATGTATGCTTTGTAGCAAAACAACTTGCATTCATACTCCAGATTGGAAGACGATGCTCATCTGTTGATCTAATGAAAATCCTATTATCTAAAAAAACACTGTGTGAAACACCAAAATTATTTTATTGTAATAAACATAACAATCTAAAAGTCTTCACTGGACAAAAATAATAAGAGTTTGATCTTCTTAAGTGGGGAAATACATACACATCATAAAGAAGCTAATGATAACATTAAAAGAAACAGATTACACCAATTTTACAATGAAATCTATTACCTAGGAAATACGTTTTGCTAAACAGATTTGTGTTACACTCCCTACAGCATGCTTAATCCTGTTTCATAGTTCAATACACATAAAGTCCTTTGAATTTTATAGAGATGCATTTCATTTCTCAGTTTCTCAGCCTTGATGAAGCCTAGAGCAGCTTTCATGGTGACTTAATTATTAATCCTCAGCCCACTTCTTGTAAACTCAAATGAAAAATAAAATAAATGTCCAAATCTGAACTGCAATTGAAACAGTGACCAGGGAAATTCAGATTAAATAAATAAATAACAGAAAATACAACTACTGTTAGCATCTCTAATTGAACAGCAAAATTACAACCAAGATTTACTTTCTCTTGATGAAAGCCTTCTCTTCTCTGTTTGAGTTGAACTGCAAGATACCAATTATAACTACACTAAAACTTTCCAAAATCATTAAGAAACAGTTTACTTCTTTCTGCAAAAGAACTCAATACCAACTATAACAAAAAAAAAAAAAAAATTCCTTGTTTCTAAGGAATTTGTGCTATAGACAAAAACAAACAAACAAAAAACCCCACAAACAATTTGAAGCATTTATTGCTGTGGAAATATATTTCTTGATTTGCTGAGCCCTTACTGCTATATAAACTAAGTTTCTTTTAGTCAATATAATTGCCATATAATTGTCATTATTGATTGCATTTGTTACCTGTCAAGTTTCAGGGAACACTTCTGGGCATTAGCAATTACAGGGATAGAAGAAATTAAATACCTCCTGACTTCTCTGTTAGACCCGGCAGGGAGATCCTGGCTGCCCAAAGCCACATTCTAATTTGCTGCTTTGGGCCTGCTTGTAGGCAGATCATTTGCACACCAAATCTGTCAAGCAAACCAAAGCAAACTGTACAGGCTAATACCACAAAGAACTTCTGCCCTCTGGCTAGGACAATAGATAATCTACAGGTTGTTACTTGCACATACTCAGATCAGCATCAAAATTTCTCCCAGAGGTAAAGAAGAAAAAGTTTGCCTGTAATCACAAATCACTTAAAGGTAAGATTTTACCATACAATCAAAAAAAAAAAAAAAAAAAAAAAAAAAAAACCACTCAACCCACAGCATTTTGCTAATACATAACGCTATACTCTGATATTTTAGCATTATTTTTTTTGCTCTTTTATTCTACAAATCCTGTGTGTATCTTAGCCATTTTTGAGTGGGAAATGTTAATTGCTGTTTACAGTTTATTTACAAAAAAACTTGCAAAAGAGTAGTAAAATTTGTGAGGATAAAAGGAAAAGTAGTATATAAGACAGAAGAAAGTCCCTGGAAAAAAATAAAAAGCACATGAGATTAAGATCACATGGAAGTCACGTTTAACACCTTTCCAATACAATGCAGACTCCTATGAACACGTCTTTGAGCAGAGAACAATACTACATAAACACTGTTCTATACCAGAACCACCACAGATAACACTCAAATACCCAAATCTGAAAATCTCCTTCTTAGAAAATGTTCATTTTTCACGTGAGGAATAATTACATTTTGTAAAATTCAGCTCACTGAATTCAGGAACTGAATTTTCTTCAGTTCCTGAGCAGTACCAACAGTACCCAATATCCCTTGGAGGTTTCCAATCTACAGTTGTAATCCACACTAACCTTAAATAAATTCCAATTCTCCTTTTGGTATGTTTTCCATTCACATTATATTCATATTTTCTTCCAGGCAGCTCATTATTAATATAGCCTTCTGGAGTTACAATGTTTCCCTAATTGGAATGATGCAGAAGCAATCCTAGAGAAATTCACTATGGGTGAACGTTGACCTGAGTCAATGTCTGGCCACTGATCTCAGCCATTTGCCAAACAGGAACACTCCTGATTGTGAAACTTATATACACAGACAAAGATAGACATTTGACAGCTCAGAGCAACAGAAAACCTATGCTTTCCAGGAAATAAAATTTCCTCCTTTAAAATAAGAGGGGAGTAGCCTGGCTCACTTCCACACTTGGCCATGAGAACTGGCTGCATGCCTGATTCTGTAGGACCACCTCTGCCATTCCCGAGGATTGAGATAATGCTGGCAGTCTAGGAGGATAGCACTAGTGGCAAGTAGCAGCTACCAGTCAGGCAGCTTCTTTCAAAGCACCAGGTTGTGAGCAGGTATAGAAGATGCATTGCCCTCTAGGAAAAAGATCTGAACAGGTAGCAATACCACAATGAAATAGATTAACATAACTGTGCTCTTATTAGATGTTAGAGCACACTAAACAGAACTGAATCCCATTAGAGGCTATATACTGTTTCAAGGCCAAAACAGGTCAAGGCCTTTCTTGGGAAAGTTTTGGGGCAACGAAGTGAATTTAAAGAAATTCCAGTAACATATATTTTGACACATCTTATTTTGCAAAGTTTCAGTGATTTAGTACTCTCCTCAATGCTAAGCAAGAAAGGAGTTAGTTTTGAAAACTCAGAATTGCTAGCAAGTTCATCATCATCCTCCAGAGAGCATTCAGCATAAACAAAGTTCAAGTAACCATCCTTCTATCCCCCCTCTTTTCTCTCCTATCTTTGGATTATAAACACTATGAAGTACACAAAAACAGAGTTGGAAAAGATTTTAAATAAAAAATGAAGCAAATATAACGTTAGAGAGATTTGAATGTGTCAGGAACTTATTTTGTTAGAACTTCAAAATTCTTTTGAAGAATGAATGGCAAACAGGTTTCCCTTGAAATCTAAGATTCTAGCAAGAGGAAGTATCCCTCACATTAAAGAAGAATAATGGTGAGTGAATGAGAGAACGAAAACAAAGGATAAAATGAAGACTGTAACACATTTGTTCCTTTAAAGTCAGAGTGCTTTGTTTTCAGATTGAATTGTTTGAATAGACTAAATAGCACTATTATGTGCTATCCATTTAGTTGCCAATGCAAAGAGGCTTTTGATAAGAAAATGGAGTATGGAGGTTATAGCAACTAAGGATGAGATACGGAGATGGCAGAAATCATTCTAAATTAATGCATTAAGTCTTCAAGCTGAAGAATGATACATCAATATCAAATACCATCTTTAAAGCTTTTTATTTTAACCTTCCCTGCAGAAAACATGCAGAAGGAAGCTCACAACTGAATAGCAGATGTAGCACAACTAAAGAAGTCTCCAAGTCTTCCAGAGACATCTTCACATTTACTTTACAAATTCTGCAAAGTCTTAGGATGTCCCAAAGGGACATAGGGATGTACCCAAAAAATCTGTCAATATACACAATGCCTTAAAATCTGTAAATACTGTCAGTAAATATTATTCTTACTTACAGCATGTTAATCACCCCATATAATTTGAAAGCAAATTACTGAGTTTTCCAATAGTTTTTGACTCGCCACATAGAATTATACAGAGAAAGGACAGACTTCGCTTTATAAACCTGTATTATATTTCTTTTTTTCCCCCCTCGTCCATTGCCACAGCAAATTCTTGCCACATTAGCTAACTTACTGTGTTCATATGTGAGAGAATCAGCAAGGAGGCTTTTTATTTCTCTTTATAAAAAAACTCAGTTGTATAGAGCTTCACTTCAAAATAAAACATGCATGTGCTGTCATAGTGTTCTCTGAACTGCAGTTTAAAAACAAAATGTTTACACTTATAAAGCCTGCTAAAAAGTCTGTAGTATATGAAAACAGTCCTAAAGAGATATTCCAGTGGATCACTTCAGGGTACAGCAGCTCCACTTGGTGGTGAATCTGTTCAATTAATTTCTTGAACTACTGACATTTGAAGTTTTACTTACATTAATAAGGTTCTCTTTATTTTTTCCCCATAGATTATGTATGAGCAGTGATTCTAAACTACTAACATCAAACTCAGAACTGTTGACACTTTCAAACACCTAACACCATTAATCCTCATACGAATATCACACATTAAAATACAATGCATAACTAACATCTGACAGGCCTTCAGAAGCCTCATCTTCATAAAAGTGGGAAAAGTATTTTATCTGAGAGACTTTGTGTTCTAGCTGACTACAACACTACATAACATTTTATACATTTCCATGAAACGGAAGGAGATGAGACACACTTCTACACAGAGTTTATTGCTGTATATTAAAAGATAACACTTCATAGGCATCTGTATTTAATATATTGTTATTGGAGTGGGGTTTTTAATTAACATATCTTTCAATTTTCTGTTAAAAATACTGTCCAACATCATCTGTTTTTATAGGCATAGATAGTCATTATAGGTAGTCACAGGAGAAATCAGTTTCACAAAGTGATGCTGAGTGAATTGCACCAAATAAAAGTAGTGTAGTCTTCGTACCATAAAATGCCGACATTAGTCTCCTATCATCACTTGAAGTAGAAAAAAGGTGTTATTTTCAAAATGATCTATAATCTTGATGTTTAAAAGTTATAATCCAGGTAAAAACAATCCAAGGAACATAACTTCTCACTGATATGACTAGCTACACAGCTAAATTCCAAAGTGATGAAGTAGCACACAGAGTCCTCTTCTCTGCTCTGTTTAGTGTGTGCATATATATACATCTCTCTCTCATCCCCCTCCCCAGTATACACACAATATTCCTTAGAGATTTCCAGCACAGTTATGCAAAGTCCTAAGATTTAGATCTTTGTAATTCAAAAAGTATTTTCTGTATTTTTTTCCTCTCCCCAGAGCTATCTGAACCAAATCTTACAAGTTCAAAGTTCATCCAGATGCTAGACATTTAGGACAACAATAGCAGTTTTGATCAAGTCAGACACAAATTTTCCTTTGTTAACCGCAAAAAAACTTTTTATGAGTTACACAGTTCTTCGGGATTCACATCAGATTCTTAGCAAAAGTCATTGTAGTGGAGTGGCCTTTCAGTTTAATAGTAACAGCAAAAATACAAAGTATAGATTTTGGGGGGGGGGGTTGTCTTTTTTTTTTTTTTTTTTAAACAAGCTTCTCACAAGAAACTGTTATGAAATATGACAGATACAAGCAAGGGCAAATAGAAGTAAATACAAGATTCTCTAAAAAGAAGGTGGCATTACAAAGAAAACTAGAAATACCTCTTCCAAGGTGGTGTCAGAAATGCCATAGCCGGTCACATGTAAATGATGAAGGCTTTGATCTAAAGCCTGGAAAAGACCTTTAAAAGAGGTCTTATCTGCCCTTTCTGGAATCACATAGGTTAGTTCAGTCCCACTGTTCTCTTTCAAGAAAGCTTCTGGGATGTGAGTCTGCACAAATGATGTGACCCGGACAACATGCTTAGAATCCTGGATTTCAAACACAGAAGGCTATAAAGAAAACAATCATAAACACACACACACACACACACAAAAAAAAAAAAAAAAAAAATTGTTAGCAGAAGCAAAGAACTTGATTGTAGAAGTCATATACGAAAATCTCCACTGATGAAACTGCATCATCTAACCCGGGACACAAAGACTATCTCACAGGAATAAAGAACACTTACATCTTTAAATTCATCATTTTCAGAGATGTCCCTGTATTCTTCTAAGTAAAACACTAATAATAAATAAGAAGAAAAATTATTGAAACCTTTTTTGCTGTCTCTCTCTCACATATTACTTCCTAGCGAGGAAGAATATGCCTAGAATATCCTTGGAATATAACCAACTATTACTTGGCAGGCACTGTTAAGTTTTGCACAATACATTTTCAGTATACCTTTTTTATGAGCGTTAAATTGTGTCCCTGGCCATATGTTTCTCTCAGATAAGAAGGAGAACCGTAGCACCTCAGTTGGCCCTGTTGCAGAATGGCAATGCGATCACTGAGCACCTCTGCCTCATCAAGATGGTGAGTAGTAAAGATCAGCGTGCAACCTGCATCAGAAAAATTAGTACATCTACAAATCCTTGCTCCCACAGAAATAAATCTGCCTTTCGGGAAGATACTTTAACCTTGAGAGAATGTGTTTCAGCTCCCTTCGAAACATAACCCGAGACACAAACAAAACCGCTGTTCAAGATTTACACTCAGTAGGTACTCTAGACTCAGGTCTAAACAATCTTTGCCTTTTATTATATGTAATGGCTTGACACTGCCTACTATCAGTTCAGGCTACTCTATAAGAGCTTAAAGGTCTCCTTAAAACCACATAACAGCAGTGTCTGTTGGATTATTCACTGTGGTATATTACAGCTGATTGAGTGTTCACTTGCTGAAAAGTTTGACTTCCCACAGTCCATTTTTCACCGTAAGGCACTTAAAAAGTTAATGTTGCAGACTGACTGATGAGTCTATCATCATTAGAAAATCATCATTATACACACAGATATGTACAAAATGGGAAATTAAATCCAGGAAAAAGAAGGCTTTGAGAAGCAAAGAAACAAACAGAGAAAAGACAACAGAAATGCTAGGAAAGGTCTAGAAACTAAAATGAACCTGTTGGATTAAATATATTTCTGTGAGTTAAGAGGTAATTCTTGTCTCACTTTGCTGCTTTAAAGTTTCCTGAATTGATTAAATGTTAGTTCTGAAATTAATGTATTTAGTTACCAAATAGCAATACTAATATTCAAACTTTCCTGTTTAAATTTATTGAAACAGAATTGCAGAACGGAAAATAATGAACAAATAATGCATCTAAACTTTGTACCAGCTTTGTACTTCAGTATAACATCCCAAATGCTACGGCGGGAACATGGATCTACTCCACTGGTGGGCTCATCTAGAACAACAGTCTTTGAGTTTCCAATAAAGGAAATGGCAATCGACAGTCTCCTTTTCATTCCCCCAGAAAGGGCTCCAACAGGTTTGCACTGGTGCTGGGATAAACCCACATCTTCCAGAGCTCTGAAAAAGGAATATAGATGCTTGACCAAGTTTGGAAAAGCTTTCAAGTCATCTCATGTCCACTCACTGCAGAATGATCAAAAAGATTGTAAAAGAAAGGTAACAAAACACTACCTCTGACTGATTTTAGAGTTTGGTTACAAAAATTAATAGAAAACAGAGAACTTTATTTTCTACCTACAAACGATAATACCTGTCATGGTTGAACTATTCCGTAACAGTGCTGGGCGGGATCAGAATAATTTTAAAATTAAATTCAACAGAATAAATACTAGTTTGCTTATTGATTTAAGCAAACTCTAGATTATAGGCCCTTAAACCACAAGTAAGGATTGTTTGTTTCACAACTCAAACAGCGCTTCAGTTTTTGCTAGTATGTAATCAACTTTAAAAATGCCTGTAGTCATTTGAACATTTGAAGCAAATGATAGGGTAACACTACTTCTTGTAACACTGCTTTATTATTATTATTATTGTTGTTATTTAAGAAATGTTTCTGTAAAGTAAACAGATTAACAATATCCAGGTAGAAGATCAGGTAATCTACTTCAAGCTACTTGGAGGTTCCTGTACAAAGAACTGGGGGGTGCCTTACACACACACACTGTGTGACCCTTCAACTGTTTCATGGGGTGTGACAGCACTGAAAGACCAACAACTCACTTTTCATCACACTGAATATCCAGTCATTGACCAAAAAGCTTTCAGTTACTTTCAGCCTGGCAAACAAAATATAAACAGCTTAATGGTCAAATCTCCTGATTCATTTGAGTGAATATGCAGATTAGTATTTTTTAAGTAGTTGCTTTACAGATATGTATCGGAAACTGATGATTGTTAATCTCTTTAAAAGCTGCTTTCTTTTTATTTCTTTAACGAAAAACTTTTTTTTTTTCTATTTTTTTCCCTATTATTATATGAAGTATTTTATGCTATTTATTGTCTTATTAATTTTTATCTAAGTGACAAGGCCTGCAGAGTCCTGAGCATGCTTATGTGCCATTACTATGACAGACTGCTGCTGAAGTTACAGATCAGCAGACTAAGTACAATAAAATAAAGGATATTAATTTGTATAAATGTTAACTAAGCAATATGTTTGGTTTTCCCTTGCTGTTTTGAAGAATTATTTATTTTGTTTCTGGAGAGATTGCAGCATCTCTTGCCAGAGGTTTTTCACATCAAAATTTTAAACAGGATTTTATAATAGCTATTAAAAAGGAAAGCCACCTTGCCTTAAATCAATCTGCATATGCCTAATTGTAGTTTAAAGAACAATCCCATCAGCCTGGCATTTCTATTGACATGTGGAAATGCCCACCCCAAAGGCTAGCATGCATCAAAAGGTAAGCAATATTTACACTGGCACACTATTAAAAGAGCATACATTTTGCTCCTAATTTTCAGAGAAATGTAAGAGAAATAAAAGATAATAAAGTCAGTGTATACTTAAGTGAAATCTCAGGATGAAAACATTAGTTTAGCTTCCATCTGCCTATCCAACAACAGGAAGAATGTTAGGCAGACAGCATGAGGGAGAAACCACTACAACTGCTACCAGGCTATCTCCGCTCCAATCAAAACATGATCATTTGATAGTTCAGTGTATCAGATTTTTAAACATTGACAGTTTCACTACAAATATATGCAAGTAAAGGCTAGAAACTAGAAAATCAATTTCAGAATGCAAAGCGTGAGAAAAACTCATGGAAATCAATCTTGTAGTTTCCAGTTACTTCTTTTTCCAATTTTGCTTTAGCACTTCTGCTTAAGTGTTTTGCAATAGATGACTGATTTACTTGACAACAAAGGAAAGAACTCTTACCCACTGACTTGCTGATTCAACTGCTCGTTTGTCCAGCCGGGTGCCTTCACTGATCCATAAAGGAGCAGATGTTCTCGTACTGTTAGTATGTTGAACAGAACATCATACTGTGGGCAAACACCCAGCTCTGTCCTGATGGCAGCCAGGTCAGTTCGGATGTCCTTTCCATTGATAAGAATGGTACCAGAGCTGGGTGGGTACAGACCAGTCAACAGTGATCTGATGCAAGAAAAGGAAAGAAAATCAGCATATAAGCATATCTCATGCTTGGATACAAGTCTATGAGACTCAATGAGGTCCATCCACGGGTTCTAAGGGAACTGGCAGGTGAAGCTGCCAAGCCCCTATCAGTCGTGTTTGAAAGATCATGGCAGTCTCATGAAGTTTCCACTGACTGGAAAAGGGGAAAAAAACTCCCATTTTCAAGAAGGAGAAAAAAAGAAGATCCAGGGAACTACAGGCCAGTCAGTCTCACCTCTGTTCCTGATCATGGAGCAGTAGGGCCTTCAGGAAGATCTAAGGCACATGGAAAATAAAGATGAGGTGACTGGTGGTAACCAACATGACTTCACCAAGGGTAAGTCATGCCTGACAAACTTGGTGGCCTTTTATGATGGAGTTACAGCTGCAACAGATAAAAGATCAACTGATGTCATCTACCTGGACTTGTGCAAAGCATTTGACACTGTCCCACATGACATCCTGGTCACCAAATTGGTGAAAAATGGATGTGATGGATGGACCACCCTCTCCCTAGATAAGGAATTGGCTGGACAGCCACACTCTGAGTTGTGGTCAGCAGCTCAGCATCCAAGACCAGTCAGTCACAAGTGGTATTCCTCAGGGATTGGCACTGCGACCAGTGTTATTGAACATTTTTGTAGGCAACATGGACAGCAGAATCAAGTGCACCCTCAGCAAGCTGCCAGATGACACTAAACTGAGTGGTGCAGTTGACACAATAGAGAGAAGGGATGCCATCCCAGAGGGACCTGGACAGGCTTGAGAGGTGGGCCCATGACAACCTCATGCGGTTCAACAAGGCCAAGCATAAGGTCCTGAATGTGGGTTATGGCGATCTCAAGCACAGATACAGGTTGGGTGGAGAACAGCTTGAGAGCAGCCCTGAGCAAAAGGAATGGTGAGTGTTGACTCTTGGGAGAGCCAACCGTATCCTGGATTGCACCACAAGAAACGTGACCAGCAGGTAGAGGGAGGTGATTCCACCTATCTACTGTGCTCTCGTGAGATCCTACCTAGAGTACTCCATCGAGTTCTGGAGCCCCCAGTACAAGAATGACATGAAGTCGTTGAAGAACATCCAGAGGAGGGCCACAAAGATGATCAGGGGGCTGGAGCACCTCCCCCATGGGACAGATTGAAAGAGCTGGGGCTCTTCAGCTTGGAGAAGAGAAGGCTCTAGGAAGATCTTATAGTGGCGTTCCAGTAACTGACAGGGGCCTACAGTAAAGCTGGGGAGGAACTTTAAAAGAGCAGAGAAGGGGAAATGGCTATAAACTGTGAGAGGTTAGATTTAGACTAGATATTAGGAAGAAAATCTTTACTGGAAGGGTGGTGAGACACAAAAACACACTGCCCAGTGAGGTTATGAATGCCCCCTTCCTGAAAGCATTCACAGCCAGGCTGGATGGGGCTTTGAACACCCCGATCTAGAGGGAGGTATCCCTGCTTATAGAAGAGGGGTTGGAACTAGATAATCTTAAAGATCCCTTCCAACCCAAACCATTCTATGATTCTGTGATTTCCGGAGGAACATCTTAACATCACTGCAGCAACATCAGTGCAATTTAACAATTAGAGGAACACTGCTAATGCTTTTTGGCTCTTTTTTTTTTTTTTTTCTCCCTTCAAGATCTCAACAACCCTTCATTCCCTCACTTCCAGAATCACTTTTCCCAGCCAAATTTAACAGTCCATTATTTCTTTTTCCACATGTATATTCTCACTGAGGAGTAACTGCTAATGGATTCCCTGTCCTACATCACTGGTTTTATTTAAGTTGATCAGAATTATCAAAAAGAAATACACATACTTCTTAATTCAGATGTTTTTCATTTTATTTCTGTCTCTGATCAGGAAGCCTCTTGTAACAACTATGAGTAAGACATAAAAACCCTTAAGTCTCCATACCCTGTGTGACTGGGGTACGCACAGGATGCTCATGAGAGGTGCTCATCTCCACAATCAAGCATGCCCAACTGCTACTGAACAATTTCATCATGGTATCAGTGGCACAGAGGACATAATTCACTGCATTGCTTTTGCCATAGACATATTGCCTTCACATTTCACATGTTATGAGGAGTTTAAAAATTAAAGGATAATATTTATTTTAAATATAGCATAAACAAAAACAAAGCAGGAAAGAGAGAACAAATGTTTTGAAGTAAGAAAGCGTAGCAGAGACCAGAAGCACTATTAACTGGCAGACTTACATAACTGTTGTTTTGCCAGCTCCATTAGGTCCCAAGAGTGCTGTTATTTGGCCTTTATGGAAAGTAAGGCTGAGGTCTTTAACAGCAGCCTTATGGTTATCCACGTGCTCTTTGGTGAGAGACAGCAACACAACACCAATGGTGGCTCCTTCTGTGCAAGTGCCTTTCCAGCCTGGAGGTGCTAAGTCTGTAAAGGGAAGAGCAGAAGACCAAGAGGATCTTCAAGTCTCAACACATATACAAAGGGAATAAATAACAAGTTAACTAAAACTTTGTTGCCATTTACCAAAAACCTGAACAGATGTTCAGGTGCTTTGAACTCAAATAAGCCCAACTGAAATGAGAGATCCTGTACCAGTTAATATTTGCTAACATTTTGGCCAATTTGCAGTTTTAAAAAGCAGCCTAACAGAATTACATCAGGCTGAGTGAATGTCCACAAACTTGTCATAACAAAGCTATATTATAGAAAAAAATCATTATTTTATGTTCATAAATATGTGAAATTTCTGTATGAATTCTTTCATATGTCAATCGGTTTCAGGCATATAACATTAACATAGCATTAACAGCCATGGCCAATTAATCCTATTAATCCTATCTCAGTCAGTAAAGCAAAGCAGATCTCTTTGAGCAGTACTGTATGCAGTTCTGGCTCCTCAGCTCGAGAAAGAACTTCTAGAGAAGTGGAGCGGCACAAGGATGATGAGGGCCTGTAGCATCTCTGTTGCTGTTGAGGAAAGGCTGAGAGATATGAGTCTATTCAGCCTGGAGAAGATCGAGAGGGGATTTTATCAGCGCTAATAAATACCTAATGTGTGGGAGTCAAGATGATGGGGCTAAGTTCTTTTCAGTGGTGCCCAGTGACAGAACAAGGGCCAATAGACAGAAAATGGAAGACAGGAAGTTTGAAATGAAAAGGGGAAAAACTTCTTTACTGTAAGAGTGACATTTCCCTGGAACAATCTACCCTGAAAGGTTGTGAAGTCTCCTTCTCCAGAGATATTCAAGAACATCCTGGACACTTTCCTGTGTAACTTACTGTAGGGAAGCTGCTTTAGCAAGGAGGTTGGACTGGATGATCTTCAGGGGTCCCTTCCAACCTCTGTAAGTCAGTGATACTGTGAAATGATTCAATCTAATGTAAACATAATTCAAACAGATATTCAGCACTGTTCTAACCATGACATAATCAGGTTCAGCAAATTGTATTGACTACATGACTCAAATTGGCTTCATATACTAGAAGAAAAATTTGGCACAAGTGTCTCTAATTTCCAAACATAACCAGTCAGTCACAAGCCCCATACACATATTATTAACATGTAATGTTTTACTGACAAACTGCAAATGAGGAATTCTACAGTAATATTTTTCCTTTAAAAAAGCTAAGTGTAACATTAGTCTAAAGAAACTGAACTTGTTCTGGAGGAGAATTACGAGAATAAAGATTTATGCATGACATATGTATATATATCTGTGTGTATATTCATGTCTATAAACTGAGTTTACAATTTCAAGGATTGATTTGATTAGACTGTGAATGAAGAGCTTTTTTCTCCTTCCACAATCATTCATAACTCCACACAGACCTTTTACCAGAAACATGAGGCTACCTTATAGCAAGGTATTTCTGTGACATTACTGACATTTTTCTATTCCACTCAGCTTCTCTATCTTCTTGTTCAGGAGACTACATCTATCAAGTATAGGTGTATACATATAAATCACTGCCATTTGCACTGCATTCTAAATTTGCAAGCACGTTCTGGAACGCAACGGGTGAGTTAGGTGCAGATTCAGCCTCAGACAATGCATCTTGGGCAAGCTTCAGACGAATAGTTCCCTATTTTTTGCAAACATTGTAATGATCACCCTAGGACTTTTCCTGAGAGAAGAAATTCCAGGTGCATACCCAACAACCAGTTCTCTGTCAGCTCATCTCTTACCACCAGACCCACACTCTGGCACTTTCCACTGCTGCTGAACTGGCTCTTACCTGTGCTCTGTGGAACAAATGTCGGAATCAATGATGGGAAGCTTGTCCGGGAGCAAATCATTTTGCTATTGAAATCTAGTTATCCAGGAATGCACTTATCCCATTATCAGTACACTAAAGCTCATTTCTCTGCATGCATGGCAGCATTAGAATTTGCATACGGGCAGTTTAGGTTATAGGCATGCGTCATGTATAAGAATGTGGAAGAAAAGTGAGACTAACAGATTGACAAAGCTATATGCAATAACCTGGGTGGCTTGAGTCAAAGATCAGGTCTACACTAGTAACTTCACAAGTGGTGGAGTTTTTCCTCTTTATACAGTGGGTGTGGAAAATCCAACAGCAAACACTGAAAGTCTTCATCTTAAGTATCAAAGACTATCATATCTCAATAAAATGGAATTGTTCCAAATTGGAGCTATTCTGGCACAATTCAGAGATGGTTCATCCACAAATACTTGAAAGAATCTCAAGACTTTCTGAAATTTGCACTGTTCTAAGAGAGATCAGTACATAAAACTGTTGAATAATTCAGCTTCTTCATATATACTACAGACAACTGGATCATTTCCAAGCTACTGCAATTTCTGAAACAAAAACAACAATTCATCATGTTGTTCTAAAAACAAATAGGGAATATAGAAGGCGGAAGGTGACTTACTCCTTCACTCATAGTAAATGAAATGTGAGAAAGTCAAAGGGATCTAAATGTTAAGTAACCAAATACAAAGTAGAAGAACAGAGAAAACATCTGAAGGCAAATAAAAATATAATTACAACAGTCTTCTTAAACAGAAAGCTAAGAAACAGACACAGAAAAAGCAGTGCTAATAGAAGAGAAAAATCAGAAAGTGAAAAGTTATGTCCTTCCCATAAGGAGGAAGGAGCAAAAGTGGAAGAAAATTGTACTGCAGGAAAAAAATAAAGCACAAGACTCTTTAGATTCAGTAACAATATGAAAAGGTATAAAGGACCTCAGGTTTTCCTAACAAAACTAAAAGGCAATACAGAGACAAGATGAATCTTAGAGATACTTATTTTACATATTCTTGAAGAGTTTTCATAAGCATTTGTATTTAATAGTTTTAATAGAACTATTCAAGTATTATAGGTGATAACACAATTAATAGTATATATTGTTCATAGTATACAGTATGTAATGGAAAAGAGAAAGGTGCAAGTTCTAAAAGTGTAAAGTATAGGACCAAGCAATATAAATGCATACTGATCAAAATCAATAAACAATTCAGGAGAGTATTAACTAAAATTCTGTCATGACTACAAACCTTTCTCTCTGAAGTTTTCATTGAAGAAAAACACATTAGAATTCAGATAATGTTTTCTCATCCTCTCTAAACCACACAGGTTCTTCCAATAGGAAACAGTAAAGGGAAAGTACCAACAGTTCCTTAGTCCATTTGTTCCTACATGAAATAGAATAAAAGAAAGAGATGCAAAAGTCTTAGTTTGTTTTTTTGTTTGTTTTTTTTTACATTTGTATGGGGGCTATTAATATCCTATCATTACTTAAAAAGAGCTTGTTATAGCATTTAAGTAACTCTTAGCTGAATTTGACAAATCTTAACAAAGCAGAAAAAAGACACTTGGGCCATAATACGCAATTCTGCCATAAAATTATGACATCTCAGAAATACTGTGCATTATACCATCTCCCAACCAGGTCTAAAGTGTGTGAGAATTAAGAGATTTGCAATATGTAGACAAAATCAGTTGATCTTTAATATTAGAAAAAAATGGAAAACACACCAAACTGCCTGCTATTGCAAACAGTTTTATTACTTTAACGATAATCCCTTGCACCAATCATTATTTTTTTCATCACTACATGCACAATTTAAACAAATTAGACAAGATAAAAGACATTTATTTACTCAAACAGAACAGGCAAAAGCATGGCCTTTCACACAAATTAAACTTTGACATTAGCTGGTCCTTCCAAGTTTAGCTTAACAATCACACAACACACTCTCTGGAGTTGCATTTCATTGATACTGAATAGCAGGTATCAATTTAAGTTAAAATTTGTAACATTTGGATGTACATTCCACACACATCTATCTATCAAGATCAATGTTTCCTTTTCACCAAACAGAGTATCTAGGAGAAAATCTGACACATGCATATCAGAGGAAAGAAACTTCAAACATTCAGCAAAGCATTACAGGGTTGGAACGTCTCTCTTAAGAAGAAATGTTAAGAGAACTGGGGCTGTTCAGACTGGAGAAGAAAAGCTGTGGATGCTCCATGGTGTTCAAGACCAGCTCGCATAGGACCCTGAGCAATCTGATACAGTTGGTGGCAATTCTGTCTCCAAGCAGGAAGGTTTAAACTAGACAGTCTTTAAGGTCCCTCGCAACTCAAACAATTCTATGATTCTATGAATCATCAGGTTGTGTATTAGGAAGAATTTTTTTCTCAGAGAGTGGTAAGACATCAGAACAGGTTGCCCAAGGAAGTAGAGGAGTCACCATCCCTGGAGGCATTTAGGAGTAGACATAGTTGTTAGGGACATGGTTTAGTGGGCAACATTGGTGGTAGCTGGACAGTTGGAAGAGATCATCTTAGAGGTCTTTTCCAACCCTAATAGAATTCTATCCAAATTCTATGATCCTATATATGTCATCCTTATAAACAAGGCTGATTTCACAGTTGGCTACAAAATCCAGTCATTTTTTTTCAGTACTATTCAATACTTATTGAGAAGAAAGTCTTTCTTATCAATTCCTAAATGCAATCAGGCTGTTTTGGCTCATAAAAGCCTTACTCAGAAAAAATACACGGTTTTGTTTTAGTTGTGTACAATGAAGAAAGCCATCTCCATCAATTCAATTCAGTAATTGCACCTATAAATGCTACAAAAATACCTAGGAAGAATTCTTACCTAGAATAATATTGCTGAAATACCAGCCACCTACAGAATACAAAATGGAGTCAAAGAACATCATCCAGCAGATACATCCAAAGGTCATGTATCCTCCTTTCACCATTGGTTGGTACATGTTATTCCACTGAATTCCTGGTAGTAGTAGTAACAGCAATAATTTTTAAAGGTCAAAGCTAAATAATTACAGAATTAAAGATCACAGACATCAAAAACATACACTTCTGGGTATTTAAGCACTGACAGAATAAAAAGTATGCAATAACAGTAATCACAATGAATAGAAATGAATTGCTATGCCTCTCAAGCCTCTGTTTAGAACAGCAGGTGACACCGCTACTGGGAAAATGCAGAGAAGTTTCAGTAGAAAGGCTATTTATGGAGCTTCAGATGGCCCTTAATTTAGCAAAAGAAAAAGAATTATGATTGACAAAATGAGGTGCTGGCTTCTTCAAAAAGAGAAGTAATGGGTTACACAAAGATTTCTACAATGTTAAATCTGAAAACTGTAAATTTAACTAAGAAGCAAGCATTTGTGTGCACTGAGTGTATTTAGAAATAAACTGAAACTACAAGCATGCTGAATAATTTCTTCATGAAAGTGTTCAATTGCAAAATCATGAAAAGAAGAAAGTGGAAAACTTCAGCACCACAGAAAGCCATCATATTTGTAAAAGGAAAAATAAAATAGAAGTAAAGAAATGGTAGCATTGTATTTTTCTTCTTAAAAAAAAAAAAAAGAAAGAAAGAAAGAAAGGGGGGGGGGAATACTACTTTGTTTGCAGTACAAGGGGTCACGATACTGGTTCTGCAATCTTTTTCTACTATTCTAAGGAAGAGCATTTTTTTTTTTACAAGCATATTTTGCCCTTTCTTCAGTAAAGAAGAATCATTTTGCTGGAAGTGTCCAGTGGAGATATTCAGTATTTTCTGCAAGAAACTGCCACTTATCTACCTTCGTATAATTATGACATTTTTCCAATACTGAGTGGTTTGAAACATATATTGTTATTAGTATTGATCCACCTCACTAGTGCCAAAATAAAGAGATTACATTATTTTCTATACTTAAATACATAAAGCCATTGTAGATATTTCTCAAGGTCCCAAATACTTCTCCAATTTCAGCATCAACAGGGGCAGCACTTGGCTTAGAGACAGAAGGGTTCACCTGAGCTTAGCAAGTTTGCAAAGTACTTTTTCTTCTTAGCACTTAAAGACAATATATTGTTCTCACGCATTTCTGCACTTTCACAGTAGTTTTAAGGGAAAATTTCACTGCACGTCTCCAAGCTCATAAAGACAGTCCAGCTGGTACTTGAGTACAAATAAGGTTACAAAGGAGAAAAGTACAGAACATTTCACAAACCAAAGGTCATTTTCTTCTACTTTCTGGTGCATAGAGGTTAAACATTTATGTTAGCTTCACACTGAGAGTGAATAACTTAGATTGCTCTAGCCCTGTACCATACTGTTTTCATCAGTCTCTACCATGTAATGCACAAGTGCACATGTGAACCCACACACATCTACCTCAAAAAAATCTCTCTAGAAATCCTTACCGGAAAAAAAGCGTTAGAGAAGTTAATGACATCTGTGAGGATTCTCAATCATTTGTATTGTAGTTCTAAGAGTAATTCTAAGCCCACCTTAATTTACTAATAGGAAGTGGCACAAGCTTAATTTGATTTTCAAGAGGTGTTAAAAAGGCTTTTCTATTCCAATAAGAGATACCCTGTTTACTCGTGATTAAAGATCTTTTTTTCAGAAAAAAAATAAACATTTCCAACTCTAATTTTTTTGAAAGAATAACTTTTTTTTTTTTTAAACTAGATAGCTTACCTATTTCTTGGCCCTCAAAGAATGTAATGAAAAACACTCCTTGCCCAAAGGCCGTTGTAGAGAGAAGACACTGCAACACCAGAGGAGAAATAGGATATGAGCATCAAATGATTCATTCACAACTGCTATGAAACTTGTGACACTAAAAGCAAGCAGAAAATAAATAGGCCTCTGTTTCAAATAAATGAGTGGTCATTATTCCTTTTAGAGTTTAACACTACACTCCCCCATACCTCAGTGGTATTTGCACCACCTTACAGAGCTCCAATTACCTACTTATCAATAATGGAAAGTACTTAATTTTATTGCAAGTTTCAGACCACCATAAATCCACCACATACTGAAAATATGTAACATGTAACACTATAACAGCATATAAAGCAATATACTTTCTGCAGTAAGAGCAGTGGTTTATACATTTTTCAGTAAGAGACAGAGGTAGCAGAAACATGAGCACAGGGTACTACCTGCTGAGATAGCATTCTTCTGAGGGAAATAACTTCCAAGAAGCAACATAAATTAAATATGCAGTATGAGAAAAGTAAAAAATGTAAAATTACCAAGTTCAGTGATGCAATACAAAATGAAAGTAAGATCGATCATCAATGTAAAAACACTGACAACCTTGTGAAGTTTGATGGGAAAATTCAAAGCATTAAAAAAATTACTAAGCATTGTTCAAAGATAAAGTTCTACAGTTTGAAAGTGAGATTAAGGTTTGTTTTATCTCCTGTTTTAAAACAGAGCAATTAAATAAGGTTTCTGTAATATTTAACACAAAAGGCACTCATTTATTCAGATGGCTGGCAGAATAACTATGGCATAGGCTGCTACTTAGAAAAAGAAATCATCAGTGGCATGGATTGCATGTTAACTCCCATTAACTGAGTCCCTGCCTTTTACATTCTCAAGTTTCTACCATCCCACTTGATGGCCTTTTCCCTCTCTTTAAATTCCATTCCATTTTTCACATGCTGCTGCATGATTTCACATGCTGCTGCAATTGCAGCATATCTGAGTTATTTTGCAACAGTGATTTTAAATTGTGCAAACTATCTGATGTCTACTTTTCTCTCCCTGTGGGAGAGAAAATGACAAAATAACAAGAAATTTTGTGCCTTTTTATGCTTGAATACTGCAGTCTTGCATTTGCACTTACTTTTATGCAAAGAATTGATATATTTTATTTGACCAATTGAAACAGAAAGTACCAAGCAGAAAAAACATTTTCCATTTTTAAAATACTGTGAAGTGTTCCATCATCTTAATGTGATTTTGTGTGTATATCTTTTAAAGGAACAAAGCCATAAAGTGTGAAATACAATTTCCATTTTATGTTGATGATATTTGATGTCCAACTTGGGATATGGTACATTAAGACCAAAGGCATAAAACAGCTTATAGCATACAAAAAAATAGAAAACACACCAAGAAAGGACATACATATGAAGCAATGGCAAGGAAACATATCTTCAACAGTATTAACAAGAAAACAATTAGATAAATTCCTGATCTAATCCTCAGCTGTTATCAATAGAAAAATCACTTTCCTGCAAAAACAATGAGATAGGGATGATTGTGATTCAAGAACAAGAGGGCTGGATTTTTACATTCATCTTTTAAGGGATGACTAGAAACATTTATGTATGGTTCTTCTATTAACATTGATATCCCTGCTATGAGCTGTTGTAGATAGAGATGTATAGTACATCTACTGTTGACCTACATTAAGCAACCTGAGTCTATGCAAATGGTTTATACTAAGAGTGCTCACAGAACAAATATGAAATGCCTCAACACTTAAGATGCAATATTCTATCTCACAGTAGGTAATTGCATTAATTAGTCACCTAATTACTTCTGCTTCTGGAGTTACAGCTGTTGCAACCCACTGTATTTTTCACCAAAAAGAAAACAGACCACCTTAATTCCAAATCTCCTTGTGAAAAACGTGTCTAAAAAATTTGGTACATTTATCAAATTTGGCATAAACAGGAGACACTGCAAGAGGAAACATGGCCATAACAATACTTTGCTCAAGTTTTTCTAGGCCAAAACCTACATTAATTGGACAGATTTTTCAAGATGACATACACTGCTCATATAAAGCCATTGTAGAACTAAACAATAATAATAGTACAAATATTTTTAAGACAAAGTATTTAGAATTATTATGCGCTTGAAGAATCTCTCCTTATACTTCTGCACATTTACAAAACTTCCCTGAAAATTTATTTTTTTATTCCTTCCTACAATCAAAAGATTTGCTCAACTGGCTATCATGAAAAGAGTGACTTATTTCCAATGAAACAAAAAAGCAAACAAAAATGTGGGATAAAATAAATTACAATCTAAAGTTTTGGAATTAAGGTAATCCACAGATGGCTGAACAAGAAAAAAAATAGAGAAGGAAAATAAATATTTACCATCATAATCTGCTTGATAAAACTCAACTGGTTCTGCAAGACCAACAAAACTATGTAGGGTAAAAAACTGATCATATACACAAGGCTGGCACACAGAGCTGCAGTATTGGCACTGCTGAAAAAAACTCCCAGGAAATAGCTTAACATAATAACTGTCACTCCAAAATCCAGGAGAAAAAGAAAGATGAGGAAACCATTGCTATGAGCAAAGATACCACTCGCTTTTAAAATGACGGCCAGTGCACAGCTGCTTATTGTTAGCACAATTACATTCTCCAGAAACCAAGAAAAGAAGTGAATGGCTGGATGCACTCCCATTGTCTTCATATACTGAAAGATAATACAGCAGAGGGATCTGAAGTCAGAACAACACATTCATTTTCATTTTTAAGCAAAACAAATCACCACCAAGATACTACCAGCTCAAAGGGTGTCATCTTCCCTTCGTATCACTTGTCTCCTTTCTCTGTGTTACCCCCTTATGCTGTTCTCTCATGGATTCAACATTCCGTTCTGACCTTATCACATAGAAGCACAAAGAATCCCAGGCACAACACACTTTTTGCACAGGTTTGCAAGTCTAGATGTCAGATTACTGGGCTCTCCAGTGAGAAATTTGCCTGTATGAACTCTAAAAAGTTCAAATACAGTGCTGTGGGTATAAACACATTTTTTTCCCCAGTATATTGTTGAACTAAAAGTAAAACATGTACTTTTGAAAACCTTTATGTACACAAATAATTTAGCCAGCTATTAAATCTCATCCCTCTGTTTCTAGAAAATGCTTTTAAAAACAAGATAATACTACTTCAAAAGCATTTTTATATAAGATGATCAAAATGAACTTCATAAAGTTGAGATAATACTGTAAAGCACTCCAAAATCCATCTTGCAAATCAAAGATTAGAGAAATTAAATAATTTCCCAAATTGAAAGAAGACAATTGAGAAAAATAAAGATCAGTACAATTCTCCAAAAAAAATCTCTACATAAAATTTACCCTAAAACCTTCAGTCTGTCAATATCCTTATCACCTGCTGAGACTAGCTCTGGATCTGTGCAAATAGTTCCATCTCACTTTGTCATCCTCCTTTATATTTCTGACAATTACATAGCACGTAGCAAGTTTTTAATTTAATACATGCAGGTTTATCATATTAGGCCAAATATGGCTAAACATGAAAAAGAATCCAAAGCATCAACCATTCTCATCACAAGACCTCACTTCAAGTTTCCATCTTCAAATTTTATAGATCTTTTGTTCGTTGTTTTATCCCATGCAAAACATTTGCAAACTAAGGGGACTGATGCTCAAACTCAAAGCAGCAGCTAGAACCTGAAGTTTCTACCCAGAATAAAAGCAAGGAAAAACTAGATCAGCTAGAATATATGAGTACACAAAGGTACCTAAATGTTTAATATTTTGTATCTCAGTTCACTTTACATTTTATTTTCAGAGGCTTAGGTCTCCCTTACCTCTTCAAGATGAATTTCTCTTTCATAAACCAGCTTGCGAACCATACTAGCAACAGAAACCATCCATGTTAACATCATCATAAGTGGAAAAAAAAAACCTATGTTGTTCAAAAATCTGTGAAAGAATATATATGCAGAATTGTTAGCCCCCAGAGATAAAAGATTTTGTAGCAGAGTATTACTGCAACTATTCTCACATTATGCATAAAATAAGATCTGACATGAGCAATTAGAAATATTCAGTTTAATTCAGTTATATTTCATGCAACAAGCTAAAGATATGTATTAGCATAAATTTATATTTGCATGCATCAACAACAGAACTAACATAATCTTTCTTTAGGTGATGAGGCTACACTCATAATCAAATAGAACTCAAATATGTGCATTAAGCAACAAAATGAGACAGTCAATTTCTACTCCATTGAAAAATGTCTCATCACCAACTATAATTTCTAATACTCAGGATGGTTTTTTTTTGGTTTTTTTTGTTTTTTTTTTTTTTACAAAGAACAATCCTCCAATTTTTCTTTTGCTTGTACTAACTCTGCACTATATTTCATTACACTCATATTGTGAGCCAATTCTAAGTTTGCAAACAGGGCAATTGATAATGGAATGTGTGCTCCCCTGAAGAGCATAAGCTGATCACACATGTTTAAGCAGTTTCTGTCCAGCATACTATTATAAAATATAGATGCAAATATCTTGGAAGGGATCATTTGGCATTATGTATTGTGGTACCATCTCTTAACATTTGCAATACTGGTACTGGACATTCTGGTTCAGTTCTGCATTAGGATACGTATTTAATCATTACAAAGATCTATTAGCTCACTAAGCTCTCTAGTGTTAGCCCAATTATATAATTAAGAAGTACAAAGTTTACTTACAGATCACTGGTATGACAAGGATAAGGCATGGCTTGCACTTGAATTGCTGGCTCTGAGATATCTAACCCAGTCTGTGCTGAAATTATTGCCCTTTCAATCATTTCTTGAAGAGGAATAAAGATATGATTGTATTTAAACCCATCAGATGGCAGCTTCTGGGGGTGAGATTTCCATGCTGGGTTTTTAATCAAGTCCGTTCTCATGCTATAGAGAACACTGGTTCTAATTGTATATGAAATGTGCTGTGTAAGGAGACTGCTGGAATCTGGCATCTTGTTTCTGGATGCATTGAAGATGATACCTGACAAGAAGAAAAAGCACTTCATACTCAAGCCTTAATGGCGTATTATATACATAGCTAACTTCTGGTCTTTTAACACCTCCCAGCCCCACTCGCGAATGGTGGGTTTCACACAGTCCTACATTTTTTCACATCCATATTTATTCATGCAATAAATGGGTTTGAAACAACAGTTTTATATAAGAAAACTACTGTTATTTGCTTTTTTGAACTATAGCCTATCCTCTTTACCCATATAGAACCCATTCTTGAAGACTAACTCCTATTTCATTCCATAAAAGAAAGCTGCTACAAAATTTGTCCAAAGGTTAACAATCCTTGTAAGTGGGAGACAAGGAAAACAGTACCAATCCATTCTGATTTTTTAATATCTGAGTCAGTTACTTCAGTTCTGCTTTAGCACAGAAGAATCTGCATGTTTATCTTCTCCATCACAGTAAAAAGCATGGAGAAAAGTTTTATCTGTAGCTAGAAAGGTTAAGTCAAATACTTGGCTTTTTTTATTTTCTTTTTTTTTCTGGATGACAGATATTTTAGGTTTTCCTGATAAATGTGAAAAGTTGACTTTCTTTAGGAAAGGAAAGATATCTCACTGATCCCTTGACTCTCAGAAATAAAAATTATAGTTTACTCCACTGGAAATATATATTTTTTTTCAAACTCATTTACCCATTTAAGCAATCATTTAATTTTCTAAAACATCTGATAAGCCTATTACAAAAAAAGCAAGGAAAACTCAACATTGGTTTCTCATCTTACTACAGGAAGTAACATATGCCTATAAATGAGAGTAGTTGGGCAATGGACACATCAGGTCCCTTAAAAAGCCACCTACCGTGTTCTCTTAAAGTATGTATGAGGCCATGATACCACAAAAACACGAAGCTTATGTCAGTTTACTTTTCTATACGAACTCCCCTTATGCAAGCAGAAGCAAAATGTACCTACAACATGACAGTTTCATTTTCTGTGAGCTAAGATGTCTGTTTCTTTCTTTGAAGGGCCAGACAGTTTCATTCCCTATGAAGACTTCTTGAGAAATTCTATTTCTCCTATGGTATGGACTCTTGATTTTTTTTTTTTTTTAGTGATCTGAGGTTTCATTTCCACATGCTGCAAGCGTGGGTACTGTGTGAGTGTCTGAGCAAGCATAGGATTCCAGACTGAAGAGTTATTCTTAAGTTTTGGTTTAGTACAGTTTCCACGTTTCGTTCTCTGTAACTATTTTGACATGACTCGTTTTATACTTAAAGGAGTCTAAAGAGGCAATAAATAAACCAAGCAACAGGGGAAAAAGTATGGCACAGCATATAGTGACTTAAAAGGAGACAGTACTTTTCCCTCTTACCTAGAAAAGCTACATATAGCTTAAGACCATTTATGCAAACAGAGAATGTGTGTAATAAGAAAAAAAGTGCTTGTCATTTAAACTGTACAATTAATTAATTCTTGGTCATGAAGGCACAATGCAGAGAAAGCATAGAGAAAGATAGAAGAGAAATAACATCAATTGTTTAACAATTAATTTGCTTAGAATAAACATCTATTTTTCCGAGGTGCTGGTTCAAGAAATAGATGTGTAACAGACAACAACTACATTCTAATGTTTTTTTTCAATATGCATTTTAAATATGATACTTACTAGCCAAAAAATTATTGTGCTGCATGAGTTCATGAGCTTTCTCTTCCAATTTATCAATAGACTCAAAAGGCTGGAAACGATCCAGTAATACACAAGAAGAGACATTTACTATGAGCTGTGACAACAGGTCAATTTGTCTACTTGCTGAGCTGTTAAGCGTCTTGCCCATCATAATTTCTAAAAGAGGAAGAGGAAATAAATTAGACTGTCTAAGTTTTAAATAATTAAACAGAACAAAATATAAGTTTTCACTTTCACACCCCATAGGAGTAAATACCTTTTACATTTAAAAGGGAAGATTTTTAAAGCTTAAGAATATTAGCGCGAACTTGTGAAAGCACAGCTCACATTGCATCAGTTTTTACAACTCCTCAACTACATTTCCTTCAAATTTCAGAATAATATATAATAAGTTCCAGAAAAAGAGAAGGTCCTCTAAGATATAGGGCTTACAACATTTCCTTATCCTTCCATAACCATTTCCACAAATGCAAGAGAGTTACTGTACTTGAGAGAACCATCTCTTTAACCTAGGAATGTATAGGCTAGTTTTTATCTCCTTGACACTGAAAATATTTCAAGTAACTTGTAGGTAGAAGCATTTTGATTCAAGCACTACATCTTAAAAGAAACCATTTGGATAAAACTAAAACCTCTCCACTTTCATTTTGATTATGATTACAGAACTAATACCTGCATCCCAAGAGAGCTGAGCCTCTGAAAAAGTTCAGAGCTCCATCTACTTTTAGAGAATGGTGCTATACCTTTAAGTTTTAGAGAATAACCAAATGGATAGCATGAGCTAGAAATAAATCTAAATTTATCCACATTTCATGGAAACGTTTGAATTTCTCAGGTAATCAAAAGTAAGTTATAAAGCACCCAACAAGATTTCTTCTTAAATTTTTCAAGACTTGCTTGAACATGTGGGCTTTGAAAAGGATGGGTGATAATCTCATTTAGTAACAGTGATGACATAAAATCCTGGATTGTAGGTGTTACTCAGCAGCAGCATAGGAAATAATACAACAGGCAGGCAAGCAAGTGGAAAGATATGTGTAGCAGTCTGAAGAAGAGACATTGATTACCAGTGTGAAGGACAAAGGTCAACAAAGCAGAAGTACAAGAATTGGAAGTCTATAACTCAGAAGACATGCAAGCAGTGATAGAGTAAGTTCACAGGTTGAGAGGAAACAGCATCAAACATCTTAATACTACCCTTCAGGAGAGCAAAAAAATGAAATACCTGTTTTTATTTATTTTGTGGCATTAGAACAGAGTATTTCAAATATTAATCCCAAGTAATAGGGTTAAGCTATCATTTATTTTTATAAGTGTGCATACATATATAACCATATGCATATATAAACAGCTGATCCTTATATATAAGATCTTAATTTGAAATAAAATATTTCACTGTTAAAAAAAATCTCAATAATTACACTACTGTATATTTTATCATAAAAAAATAATCACTTTACTACTTCGTTGGAGTATGGCATAGTTAAATGTTTCTCGAATTACATTTCATAGTCTTCAGGAACTTCTGTACTCTAGCATAGAAACAGTATCTGTACATCACAGAATGGCCTAATGGCCTTAATTTGAAAGCTAGTGCTTGCTGCATGCACTAAAAAATACAGCAAGTAGAATCCATAACAAAATCCAGAGAGTAAGAGATGATAGTACAGTATCCTCTTTAGACCAAGGAGCTCAAACTTCTATATGCCATCTCTCCGGAATATCTGCTTAACCACTGTACTGTTGGCTAGTCTGGATCAGAAGCAGTTTGCACATCATGGTGAAAATGGACCACTACATAATTAAAATAAAAAAGAAAGAAAAATAGCTTTAACTTTTAAGAAGTTCCCCTGTCATAAGCAAGGCTGCCATACACCAGATCAGGCTGGTAATCAGACCCCATACAATGCCATACAACCTGGCCTTGAGCACCTCAACTTCTCTGGGCAGCCTGTGCTAGTTCCTCACCATTTTAAATAATTTCCTCCTACTGCCTAATCTATATCTCCCCTCTTTTAGTTTAAAACCATTCCCCGTTTTCCTATCACTATCAGACCATTAAAAAAGTGGATCTCCCTCCCGATTAAAAGCTCCTTGTAAGTACTTAAAGGCCACACTGAGATCTCCCCACAGCCTTCTCTTCCCTACGCTGAAGAAGTCCATCTTTCTCAGCCTGTCTTCATAGGAGGTGCTCCAGCCCTCTGATCATCATCTTAGCTCTCCTCCATGCTAACTCCAAAAGCTTCTTGTGCTGGAGTCCCCAGGCCTCAACACAGTACTCCAGATGAGACATCACAAGGGCAGAGTAAGACACATGTATAGGAACAGATACAATTCACAGGAAAGCTTTAGAACTAAGATACAGACTTACGTTTATCTTTTATCTTTCTCAATTATAAATCTAGTAACTATGAATAAAAAACTCAGCAAAACCATTTATACTCTTACCTTCATGCTTTGTTACATAGAACTCATCCCTCATCTCCCACTTAATTCATTCAAGGCACCGCTAAATAATTGGGAGAATATATAACTCTTTTCTATAAAGCTATAAGGCAGAAGTGCTATTTAAATGAAAGGTAGCAAGAAAAACTGGAATATAGCAGTAATTTTTGAATCAGCATAGGATTCAGTGATGACTTTAGATCTACTTGTTTGCTTCCAGCTCTCTATACATGCGTGGGAACTGTTTAATGACAATGAGGGCAGTAGAGGAAAAAAGCCAAGCAGGAAAGTTGCCTGTTGTTTTGTTTGTTTTAATCTTTGCTGCTACATCCCAGGCATGTAGCCAAAACAGAAATTCCTTAACTGTGAAATACACTGTACTTCTGGAGAAATCACCGAAGAAGACTGAAAGACAATAGGAAGATTCAGGGAGCAAGAACATAAAAAGAAGAGTTTCCTGCACAGTTGCTTCCTTGTGCCTCTTGAGAGGCTTATAATGATTGCTCCTAGCAAAGAGCTCATAAGCTCTAGCAGGATCGGGCTTATATAAAATTGGTTACACCCAGAAGATGATTGCAAATTGCTGGATTGGAAAGCAAGCATAGAGAGATAAACCTGCAGTGCCCACAGAAGGCTAGCTTACAAAGTGAATATGAGTTTAAGAAAAAAAAACCACAAACTTGACTGTCTGCATTTCAATATTTACTTTGTTCCAGATAAGTAAAAACTGGCACAATACCCTGTAAAACAGTTTTAGAAATTTGTAACTTTCCAAGGAGTCTCCTAGCAAAATCATTTAGAAGAACAACAACAAAAAAAAATTCTGCATCAATTCACTCAGTGTCACATGAAACTTTCCAACAGAAGTTTCAGGGTGAATGTTTTTAATCCCATTACTTATATTTATAGCATCATAGTGAAGTAAAAACATACAAGCACAAACACCTTGGATTTGAGCATAATTAGAAGGCATGTCATTGTAACCATATCTGTAAAAAGAAACATCAAAATATAAATGCAGAAGAGTGCTCTGACACTCTAAGTCAAGATCAGTTTAATGTAAAAATGAAACCTGTATGATCTATAACCTATACTGATTTTTCACTTTTTATGATAAATTTATCAATTGTATTGCATTAAAAAATTCTGGCTTCATAAGCTATTCTACTTCAATGATTTCCTGTATTTTCAATCCAAGACTATTAAACATTTATTACAGTAAAATGTCCCTGACTGTTAAAAAGCTACAGCTTGAGACTTCTGTGATGAAGTGTCAGCAACAGTGAAGATGTACCTTATGACTCTTGATATCTTCTTAATGAGATAGCCCACAATTTGTCATACAGTTCCCTGTTAGGTCTGTACAAACCAAATACATCTGTACATTGAGAGTTATATTTCCAGGAGCTCTTGTAGTTTAGGAGACTTTGTCTTCCCTGCTTCTAACTTTCCAGTTCTGTATTTGTTCCTCTATTTTAATTTTATTCTGGTCCAGTTTCACCACGATAGGCAAACTGTTTCTGATCCAGACTAGCCAACAATGCAGTGACAACACAAATATTCCTGAGACAGCAGACAGATTTTTGAGCTCCTCAGCCTGAGAAGGATACTGTGCCCAAATCTGTTACTTTTGGATTTTGGATTGAGTTATGGACACTACTTGCTATGTTTTTAGTGCATGCAGCTAGAACTAGCTTTCAAACTAAGGCCATCAACTGCAATTAAATCTAAAACCCTATTTATGCAAAAGAAAACCCAAGAACTTCGGCTCATGCCAACCACACATAGCATCAGCTCAGAGCAACAGCACAATTAAAGACTGAGGATGCATTCCAGTATTTACAAGCTCTCAGGAGCGTTGGTGGATTTTACACATCTCCTGCCTAGAGACAGGTACCAAAATTCAAATAAAAGTTGCACTTCAGGTACTCAATTTTTTAGTTTTATTTTTTAAGATACAGATTCTATTATTTAACTATAAACAATAGGGCAGATTGAGTGATCTGGACACCTCCACTCCCTTTTATTTTTTTCCCCGGCAATATGGGCCACCCAGCCTCTTCAGGAAAGAATTTAAGAGTTCTTCACCCTCCATAATGACTGAAACAGATTACTGTCTAGCTTGTTTGTCAGTGAACATTAGGGTAATTACTACACAGATCTGTCCTCCTTACTACTATCCTTTCCTGAGAAGCATCAAGCCCCCTTGGTGCATGATGCCGTACTGTCTGTTATTACATTCTTTGTCACTTCTCATCTCATGACTGTAAGCTGCTCTTAAATGACATTAGACTCTTCCTTGGCACGAACTGTTCCTTCTAATGCTGCCAACGACAATTTCCATTAGAATGCACTGACTTACTGATAGCAGAACACATCAGTTATTTTTTTCAATTATCAGATTGTTTAAAAATAAGTCTAGCTGCCAGGAGCTCAGCCTCAGGGCTAAAAGTGTGCAGCCATGGCTGACAGGGCCCCCTTGGTGGCCAAATCATGGACCTGCTGATCTGAGCACCAGTCTCCACTTGTAGGATGTTATCTTTGCTGATGAGAGCAGAGCTTGACATTGCTGCTCCATGATATTAACCCTATCTCATGCTTTTCTAGGGCTCAGGGAGCTGACATGGAATTCTCTCTCTACTAAAAGGAGTTACAGACAGCATTTCCTTGTATTGATTAAACACATACCATACCAAATCTGATTTATTTCCATTAAAAGCATATAGATTTTCTTCAAAATTACTGAAAAAATTTACTGCTAAATAATTGAACTGCAGTTACTGAGATTACATATCCCCTCTGTTCTTATAAATATAGCTCCTAAGTTTGTAAGTCCCATTACAGTTTGCCACTTCTAATTCATCACCAGATTTTTTCAGTTTTCAATATTATACAATGGACAAATTTAATACAGAAACTAAGACATTTAGAAATATATGAGACTAACAGTAGATTTCAAGCCTGCTATTTTAATTTCATCAAAGCAAACAGCATATTAAAATCCAACTAAACGTAGTTCTAGTATTAAATTAAAAACTAAATAAGGGTAATCAGTGCATGCACTTTCTTAGACATACCATATACTTGCATTTTTTTAAAGAGTTTTTCCAGGTCAATATCCAGGTTACTTTCCACAAAGTGCTTTACAAAATTGTTTTCCAGTGTTTCCTAAAATAAAAAGTTGTAGATAATGTCATGTTTATATTCACTAAAGAAATACAAAATACTCCTCTTACAAAGATTTCCTGCATAATCTCCTGAGTGGAGAACTCAGTCAGCTTCTCCATGTTTTCAGTCTTCCCCTCTTCAGAGATTAACTCTACCCATTTAAAATAAACTACAGCACACATACTCCCCATTGCTATACTTCACTATCCTATTTTACTCCTAATATTTTAACCTGGTCCACTCTAATATTTTTACAAAACTACTGGGACAGAAACTTATTTTCTTTTCCTGCAAGACTTCTGGGGCACTGAACTATTAGCACTGGCAGTAGCGAAATAAACATCTTCAAAAACTGGCAGCTGGAAATGCCTTTTTATGTTGTTTTCAATTCTTTATCTCATTTGCCAAGTTCTAAGGGGAAAAAATGTATTAGCACTACAAGAGCTTCCTGGGATTTGCAAGTCTCACGCCTGTTTACTAGTAACATTGCTTACTTGATCTTAATAACAGTTCAGTCAATATATATAGAAGCCATGACAGTATTCTGCTTACAGAACAAGCATAGAATATTCTGACTTGGAAGGGACCCACAAGGATCACTGAGTTCAACTCCTAGCGCCAAACAGCACCACCCAAAATCCAAACCCTATGCCTGAGAGCATTGTCCAATCATTCCTTGAACTCCAGCACCTGGGGCTGTGCCCACTGCCCTGGGCAGCCTGTTCCATTCTCACCATCCTCCGGTGCAGATCCTTTCCCTAACCCCCACCTGCCTCAGCTCCTCTGCTCTGGACTGAGAAAACCAATGGACCTCAATTGCTCCTCATGTGTCTTGCCCTCTTGGTCCTTCTCCATCTAAATCTCTCTCTGACTGCTCTCTTATAGTTTATGTCCTTTTTGCACTGTGGTGACCAAACCTGCACCCAGTGCTGGAGAAGAGGCCGCAGAGTGCAGAGCAGAGCAGGACCTTCCCTCTCCTGTCTGGCAGTGCTGGGGCTGATACACCCCAGGGTACGGTTGGCACTTCCTTAACACAACTGCTTCTCACATAACAGCCTACCATGTAAAACATGGCAAAACTACATTTTACTGGTGTATTAAAATAAAAGACATATGTAGAATGGGAAAAATCCCAGTAACAAGCTCTGAAGTTTGTCAGTATCATACTGTGGGCTCACAAACTGAAGCTCTTTTTCAATTCTGCAGCAGCAAGACAGATGGGTAACTTTACACGTATAGAAATTCACCTAGATCAATTCATTAGAACATTGAAAACCACACTACGTTTCACCAACCTGCAGCCGTGAGACCATGAGGACATTTCCACGGTTTTTAAAAACTTCAGACATTCTTAGCCATGTTTGAGAATAAGTCTTCAAGTTTTCCACAAAACCAAAAGTGAAATTAGCCTAGGAAAAAGACAATGTGAAGACAAGTGAAAAAGATTGAGCATAGCAAACCACAAGAAACAGGAAAAACCGGCATGCTTCAGATGCTCTGAAACTCCTTTCCGTATCATTTGATACTCAACTGTAAATACATCTATGTTTTTTGTTTGTTTGTTTGTTTTTAAATAAGTATTTATTGCAGTCTCTGAATGCTAAAAATACACACTACAGGAAATATTTTGTTTATGTTTCTTATCTGAGGGTCATAAAAACCTCTATTTCATAATGTCTCTTTCCTACAGAGTATCATGGGGGTGCTTCAGAATGAAAAAAAATATATATATACAGTCAGGACATCCTCAAAAGAAAGATTCTGTAAGCTGTATGGATCTTTTGCTCTATTAGATATTACCATAATGTAATTAAATTTAAAAGTTGGAAGCACGGTCTGGACCACAAAGACAACTGACCAAAAATATTTCTTTTAGAAGTATATTTCACAGAGGAAGTCCTGAGCATAGCAAAATATTCTGCGAACCAATGAAGCATAAGGTATAATTTCTGTCTTAGCCAGCAGCTAGCAACCATCAATTTTTTTCTATCCTATTATAACAGATCACAAACATGCTCAAAATTAGATGGTATAGCAGTATACTTTTGTTTAAATTGGTATTTTCAGTCATAGAAGTGCTTTCAAGAACTAGATCTTTCCATTACAATCAAACTTTGTTATTATGGTAGAAATCATGGAATTTCCCAGCAACAAGTTTCTTTAATGATTTATAAACTGAAGTTTGGGATCATGGCTTTGCAATAATTCCTATTAAAAGTACACATTTTTGCCATAATATTTTAAGTGCCTCTTGCAAAACCACTCACCTAGCACTCATAACTCCTTCTCTACCAGAGATGCATACTTAAGCATAAGTCAATAAAGAAAAACACTTTGTGGTGTTTATTCTTCCCATTTTTAGCACAAAATGCCCAAAGACAGATCACATCATTTTCATGAAGGAATCTGTGCATTTAGCTTATATGAGATTGACTATATCACTTTCCAAGGGAGAGTAATCTTAAATGTTAAAGTTCAGCATTGAATTGGCTAAGCAAGTTTTTCTGTTAGCGAGCACAAAAAAAACCCTGTGGGCTGAAATTCCAGCTTTGAACACTAGGATCATGCAACCCACTGTCCAGACAGGGAGGTAACAACCTGAAGGAAACCAGAAAGGCTCCAGAGGTAGAAATAGCCAAAAAAGGAGAATTTCACACACTGCAGGTCACGCTAGAGTATGAGCCTGAATTTTAAGGCACTACGAGCTGCGAGGAAGTTCACCAGGGATCTCAGAAGAGCTCAGATCTTGGTGCTTCTTGAGCTGATTCCCAACACCACAAAAGATTTTTTTTCCTGAGGTCACTTTTAGAGATCTACTGTATCCATTAGAATACTCAACCTCCTTATACAAACAATTGAGGGCATTTTAGAGAAAGTCTCAAATTGAAGCAGCAGTTAAAAAAAAAAAAAAAAAGGTCATGTAAATTAACAAAAATGAACAGTAAGTAGTTTTCAGGACAAGTTAACATCTGGCCAAGAAAGATTTCAAGGATGAAACTGTTGAAGTCCTGGAGTCAGTGTAAATAACTTCCTGATTACAATTGCCTTGGTATCAAGGGGTTTGAAGAACAAAAATTAATGCTATTCATAAAAAAGAACGAAACAAACAAAAATGCTAGGGGAACCAGGAGACTACACAGACTAATGATTTTGAAATCTCTGCTGAGCAAATTTTCTTTTTGTGATACTAATAAGAAGAAATTACAGTAAAAGAAAGAAGTGTAAATATGGAATAGAAGTAAATATTGTTGGAAGATATAAAACACTTTAAAAGTTCAAGTGAAGCTGTGCTTCAGCTCTCTGGAGAAGTTAAAGAACAAGCAAATAAGGAAGAGGTAGTTAGCAGAACACCTCACCACAGACATTGCAGATGCTAAGAGTTTACACAAGCTGAAAAAAAAGCGGACAAATTACATCAGTAAAATCTTGGCATGTTTTTGGGAGTTGGGACAGTATCTGGGGATGTATCACTTTACTGTCATATTCTTCAGCAATTTTCTATGCAACCTTTATTGGCCACAGTAGGAGTCAGAATTTGAAGTAAAAGACTCCTATGAGTTTATATTCTAATGAGTAGCTGGAGTTTGTGTTTAATAAAAATTCCCTTTAAGTTCCCTTCTTCCTGAAGAACGGAGATCCATTAAAATAAATATGTAACATTTAGGCTGGATATTGCATTTGATTGAAATTATAGTCTTGAATAACATCTATGGCCCTGTCTGGACTAAATACGTCTAAGCATCTTCCTGATTTAATCATAAATAAAAATGTTATTTTGAGCACACTTCACTGCCTTTATAATGATATCTTTTAACAGACAAGTCAAGTGTGCTTATGCAAAGCCAGACAGGCTACATAAGTTCAGAATGAGAAGTTACTTGACTCATTATCTATTTTTCTAATTACAGTTGACAAAAAAAAAAAAAAAAAAAAAAAAAGGAAGTTGAAATTGATGGATTTACTCGACTAATTTTCTTTTATTTCTGAATCATCCTGCTACCATTATATATATTTTGACTGTTCCAATCACAAAGAAATAACACAGTGTTATTTCTACTTCATTTTCCTGAATATAAGATCAACACTGAGAAGATGTATTTTCATGAGATCAGCTAATCAGTGGAAAAAAGTTAACAAGGATCAAAGGCATCACACATGGTCTTTGAACTCCTGGATGACAGCTGCAACTGAACACTGTAGCTCTCAGCCAGTGCTGCAGCACATCTCTATAATGGTCATACCTATTCTACGCATAAGAAGTGTTGACTTCTTAGAAGGCAAAATCCATAATAATCACAGCTTATCAAAGAATGGTTAGTTACACAGCCCAGAAATTAAACAAGCCATGTGAAAAACTTGCAGAATATCCCTTACTATACAAGTATCTACTTCATTTTCAGTTTTAGTACTCATCGTCTTCTAGTAGACTGCTGATATGTGGGTCACACTGTCTAAAGTAAATTATAGTTTCTGTTTCAATAGGATATTTAACTGTGCAAGAGTAAAGGGTCAGCTTTTAGCAGCATTTAGGACCTCTAGGTCATTATTTTGCATTTAAGATTTGTTTGTGTTGGAAAAATAACTGAGAGGCTTGTGTAATATAAGAAATACAAACATTGTTGCAGAAACATCCCTACTATATTTGTATTTATATATAAACAGGTATACTCAGCTTGATCTAGTTAGAGGATGATAAACCTACTGACTGCAGGAGGGTTGGAGCTCAGTGATCTTAAAGGCCTTCCAATACAAGCTGTTCTGTGAATTCCTTGTTAGATATAAATGGCAGAAGTGGGGTGCAGATTACACAGATTCTTAATAAACTGATGGAAATCTGGGGTCTAGAGAATATTAACAGGCATGCCAGAAACATCTAACAGAATCCTTGAATTATTCCAGAATGTTAAAAAAAAAAAAGTTAATTGTATTATGGATTCTATAATTCAGTCTTGATTTCACTGAAGTACCTATACACAACAGATGTTGGGAGATCTTTGTTATAGATTATTTCCAGCTATCAATTTTGTCATATCACTTGGCAAAATAATTTTCCTGATTTCAGCTGATACAGTTGATTTTCTTCCTGGTTTCTTGTATGATGCTGTGTCTTGGCATTAGTGCCCTAGGTAATTATCAGTGTCAGTGTAACATAGGATATAATTGTATACTCAAAATTGTTTGTTTGTTTGTTTTTTAATCATTTATCACAATAAAATCTTTATTAAATTTCCATCTATAACATATTCAGTTTTAGCTTATGTTTTTAAATCAATTATACTCAACTCTATAGAGATGAACTGTCTCCCAAATTAAGTTATTTAATTGCAAAATATGGAATCACTGAAACCTTACTTCCAATTCACAGCCATTTGGCTTAGGTTTTTATCTCCTAGAGCATAAGTCAGAACACCACAATGTACTCCATTTACATAGGAAATAGTTATCACATTTAAGGTTACTACAGTTTTTTGTGTATTTTTTACAAGCAGCTTTTTTTCTTGATCTTAAATGAATTTAAATTGCCATTCCTGCAATAAATAATGTTGTGGCATAAAAATAATATCTTTGCAAGTTAAGTGCAAAATTAGCACAGAACACTAAGATGTACTTAGAATGAGTAACTGTCCCTTCTTTTACCCATGTGCTTCAAAGTTTGCCATGAACAAACACATCATTGCAGACAATTACGCTCAGACTACATTACTTGCTATACCAGACAGTAAAATTGTTTATTGATATAAAATCATTAGCATTCACATATATTTGGAATCTTGGCCAGAAATATTTATACTATTTTTTTTTATGCAGCTTAGTGAGGCTTTCCTTCCTGAGTATCCCTTTCTCACAGCTCCCTGTGCTGTGCCCCATAAATAAAATGTTCAGGGCAAAAGCTTACTTGCAATATCTATGTTCTACATGTTGATACAACGTGAGTCTCACTACACCTCTGCTAATGTGCTCTTTTTAATCTTCCTATACAAGGATTACAGTATTTTGTAAGAAATTCACCTTTTCACTCTGAGGTGAAACCAGTGTAACAAGTAGAAAAAAAACATTAGGAGAAATATTAAAACTCAAAGCAGGAAGAAGTTGAGGACTCAGGTGGCAAGGTGGTTCCAGTTTTCTTGAAAGCAATTATCCAACTGCTTCTATCTATTCTGAAAGAAATGAAGTATGAAGTACTCCTAAATTGAAGTACAAAGACAAAAAAAATCAATATATAGAAACAGTGTTGCTTTTGATACTCACCTTTTCTATAACCAGGTCAATCATGCTGATGTTTGAATTGTACAGTATCTTCCCATGTAATAAAGGTTTCAAGAAAGTCCATACCAAAGCCCCATTTGAAGACTGTAAAATCTCCTGATAAAGCTTCAGACAAAAAGGAGCTGCAAAAACAAGGACAGATTCATATTTCAGAAAGTCAGCGCAGGTGAGGTTGGCTTTCTTTATTTATTTTTTAAATCTAGGTCTTTAGTCTTAATTTATGATCTGATTATTGAATCACTGAATTATTGCTAAATGACAGCAAAGAATTAAGAGACTCTGAACTGCCTAGTCAAAAATAGCAATATGCCAAAAAACAGAAGACCTGCTAATTTGAGTTTATTATGACTTTCCCACACACAAGTGAATAAGGCTAAGGCAGAGGTCTGGCTCCCTGCCGGTACAGCCAAGACTGCAGAAGCAGAGTCCTGTTTCACAAATCCTTTGAATTCTTTTCTTGTATCCAGTCACCAACAGTATTAAATTAATGAGGATAAGTCAAAAGTACGTTGAAGAAAGGCAGCAGAAGAGAAATTATGAGAAAACAGACATTCTTGGTAGTTGATAAAGAATAGATATTTCAACTATTAAAAGCTTATTTTTTCCAGAAAGTTTGCATATTCTACTGTGCAGCATCACCATAATATTATGTTCAAGGCAGAAAGGTATGCAACAATAGATTTTTCCATTTTATATCTCAAAAATGAATTTGTATACTAAATGATATTTTCCTTCAAGCACAGTAAGTCTCTAAGGCATGAATATTCTTATTTATTATTTGAAAGGACAGGAAACAACTAGAACCTCTTGTGTCCCACCACAATTCTCTCACAGTAGCAAAACTTTATTATCATCTCTTGTGTTTAGGTTTACAGTATCAGCTGAGTTGTCAACTGGTATTTCCCATTTAAACAGGAAAAAATATACCAGCTCTGAAAATATATGTGCATCTTGTGATCAATAGATTTTCTCACTTGAATCTTCAGGAATCCCGTATTTTCCCATATTGTCCTCCAAGAGCCCCGTGATTCTGGGCATATCAACAAACAGGTTCGCATTGCTGAAAAACGGAGATTCTTCTTTACATACTGCCTTGATTACAGACTCGAGCGATCCAACAGCTGAACTTCTGAACTGTCCACCTTGCAAGAACTAGAACAGATACAGATGAAATAGGGAAGATTCAGGCTGGATATTAGGAAATGCTACTTCTCTGAAAGAGTGGTCAGGCACTGGAATGGGCTGCCCAGGGAGGTGGTGGAGTCCCCTTCCCTGGAGGTGTTCAAGGAATGTTTGGATGTTGTGTTGAGGGATATGGTTTAGTGAGAACTATTGGTGATAGGTGGATGGTTGGACTGGATGATCTTATAGGTCTTTTCCAACCTTAGTGATTCTGTGATTCTGTGAAACAGTTACTTTTTGTAGCTTCAGGGAGTAGTCCTTGTGTTCTCACCATACAAGGAAATCAACAAAACTAAACTATTGGAACTGCCTACAAGAACAAAGGCCTGCTGTGCTTTTTTCCTGATCACCTTTGTCATGAGGGAGAAAAAAAAAGCTACTGTAGTTTTAGTTGACAGGGTACTGAAATACAGTAATATATTATTACATTAAACTTCGAAAAATACTGTATTGGATAGACTCAAAAATATGGAAATATCAAGGCAACTAAACTACAGCTTTCACAAAATCTACTCCTGTATCACAAAGCAGAAACAAGTGAAGTCAATTTGCATATGAATACTCACATCGAAAACAGTTGCTAAAACAAAAAAAAATGCACCATGAAAGACCAGTTTTCAAATACTTTTTTTTTTAACTTATTAGATAGACTTCTAGTTTTTGCACATCTTGAATCATACCAGTGTTTACAATTACCACTTGCTCAAGACTAGCATACATCTAATGAGGAGAGCAATCTGACTGCTTTTATAGCTTAAGAATCATCATTAACCACACTTCAAAAATGTGAAGCTTCATTTTTTAGATAACATGTTCATTTGCAACTGGTGTCTAATGGTTGGCTACATAGGTGCATAAGAGGATACAGCTAGAAGACAACGTGCTGCAAAAGTGTGAAGAATGTACTGAACCACATGCATGTGAGGAAGAACATAACTGGATTATCAGATAGCATTTTGAGACTGCAAAGGTGAAAAGGTGTTTTGACATGTTAAGTAAAGAAAATTGACACTGATATTAACATTTGATTCACTGGTTTGTTTTTTTTTTTTGTTGTATTTAACAGCAGTCATTTTTCAAAATAGTACATTCTTTACATAAAAAAATAGATCACAGACAGGTTAGAGATTATGCTGTTAGAAACTGTTTATTTGATCAAAGCATTTACTCAAGTGCCAGGTGCTTTTTTGTTAATTCCTGGAGAACTATACTAACAAGTGTTATTTAAAACACCTGACATCAGAATCTGACTTTTTGCATATGTACATAATAAACAAGTTACATTTAGATTTCATAACACCATTACTTACAACTCCGGACTCAGTATGCTGGTAACAAGGAATAAATTTCATAAACTGAATAAAGTAATTTTGAATCCTTCTTTTTGACAGCACCAGAAGGGTGAGGCTTGTTTCAGTCAAAGAGCACAAACTCCCTAATTAATTCTGGTTTCAATCAAAATAACTTGAATTTCAAATAATGAATATTTATGTAGTAAGCTGCCACCATCAGATTGGAATCTACTAAATGCCTTTAAACTAAAGATCCAATGAATCATTTTAGGATGATTTTACTTTGATAAAATGGAAGAACTAAATAGGATGGGTATTCATAAAATTTATCTTTGATCCCCAAGTTCTAGATTAAGCTAAATGAAGTATGTCCACAATAAAGGCTTTTAAATTGAAACAACTTGTCTCTCATTAAAAAAAAAAAATTAAAAAAATCAGTCAAGTCAGTTGCCAACTAACTTAAGGAGAAGGAAAGTGGGCACCAAAGATTAAGAAGTTATCTGTAAGTAGATGCAATTTGCAAACAGGCAAAAAAACCTTCATAATATTGGGATTTCTGACCTAACTGGACAGCTGCATACCTAGAAAGAATAGGAAAAGCAAAAAAAAAAAAAAAATTTTAAAGATCTAATTTGTCTGAAGTAGAAATATCAGCTATTCAACAAAGTAAACCCAAAAGTCAAGGTAAATTACAGCTTACAAAGAAAATTTCAAAAATTCAGAATTATTACTGAGAAAACAAAGTAAGAAAAATACATATATTTTCCTGAAAAAGCAGAGGGAGGTTAAAGATCATTCAAATTTTGATGAAACCAAAGGACAACGTACAAAAATACATATAGTTATTTCTGGACAGAGACATGAACAAGAACTCTCTATTGTATTGACATTAGCAGAATTGGGGAAAAAAAAGGCAAAATTACTTACTTGCGTAAAAAGTTGTCTGAACTATCAAAATTTAGATAGCAATATTTGAAAGAAAAGTAGAAGCAAATCTGTACTTAATGATGAGTGGCACAGTGCCCCAGGAGATAATGGTACTTTATTGTGATGTTTAATATGGCAAGATAACACAACACATTTTACTATTGAGACAAACAGTATATGAAGAGTAGAATCTAATGCTTTATCAAATTATTGCTCCAGACCAACACAATACATTTATTTGAGAAGGCAAACAATTTTTCCTGAAAGAGATATGCTGTCTCTAGTTCAGGTAAACACTACAAATTGGTTAATGTTCTTATCCTAGAAAGCATTAATCAACATTAATCCAATATCTATGCAGTGAATAAAAAATGGCCTTAAAAAGATATTGCAGGGGTCCTTACGAAAAAGAAAATATTGGATCACAGAAGTTCCTAATGTTTTTCCTGAAGCTGAACTTAGGTTCCCTTCAATGAGTTTTCTAGCTCTGAAATGAGAAGTAAATTACAGAAATTTGCCTATCATCCAAAATCTGAAGACACTACAGGAAAAAGAACACTATATTGGAAGAAGCCAGTTACCTGATTTAAAGTAAGCCAAGTATAATTCCTAGTGCTAAACATTATTTATCAACTGAAATCGTTAGTTGCTGTTACAAAATAAAGTTTCCTAGGTATGTTACTGATCCTTGATGAAATAAGAGATTCAAATGTATGCAGCTGATGGAACAGATGATTCCCAAAATTAGCAAGTCATTTTAGTAGGCATGGATATGAATAACCAATAATAAGAACTACAAGTCTCCAGCAATACCTCCCCCTAAGGACAGAACATATCTCTGAGCCCCAACATTTAACATTAACCTTAACACAGCATGTGAAGATTATCCTAGCATGTGTGAGACAATCAAAAGATGGTAACAAGAAAAAAAAGCTAGAAAAAATTCATTTAACCTAGGAAAACAGAAGACGACTATGATTTGTCTTCTACAAACACATGGGCAACTCAGAAGTTGTAAACAGCTACATGACATTTTTTATACAACAATAAATATGCTAGTGTTGGATAAATTGAAATAATAATTTTATATATTTGTAACTTCAAGAAGCTTCTCAGTAATGATAGTTTTAACACAGAACTTGTTAAATTTAGCAGAGTGATAACAGAAGGAGGCAGCCTTTCACACTCAACAGCATTCAGTAATTCAGCACATATCATTCTGTCTGGCCTTACCTAGTCCTGAGAAACAAACAGGCCAAAAATTCACATTGGTATAGAAGGAAATAATTTATAACAGCGAAGAAACAAGCAAAAATCATGACTGAAATCAGCAGTGTTTTTTCCCTCAAGGGAGTTACCCATTCGCTCAATGAGAGTTAGAGGTAGAAAGTGGCTCTGTATTCCAGTTATTACTGATATTACTGATAGAGACTTCTATTGAAGTGTGTACAATACCAGTTCAACTTCACACTTTACAGATACTAAAATATTATTTCTTACTTTTCAGTTTGTCTTTGAGACAAAAAAAATCTATATATTATTTTAAACCATACTTCAATTTTTTTTTTCAATTAGAAATTAGGAAAGGAAAGAATCTGTCTTACTTCGTGTTGAATTTCTGTGTATTTTTTGCTTTAAAAAGCTTTGCTACTTTAATTGGTGATTTTTCTAGGTCTCTGAACTATTTCATTGCTGGCTATCAGGAAAATAAAAATCCAAAAGAATGGATTTATTTGGAAATAGAGGGAAATACTTAAGGAGAAAAGCACATACACAGTTTAGCCACGCTTATTTAGCAGCACAAGATTGGCCACTACAGAAAAGACAAGAAGAAAACAAAATAAATAAGAATTAAAGGTAGTTATTGGAAAGCAGAAAAACACAGTTAATTCTGAAAAGGATATTTGTATAGCAATGGGATACAGATTCTAAGGAACAATAGTAGGTAATAAAGAAGAAAAATATTAGCTTACTCCTTCCAACAACCAGCGACAGCTCAGGAGAAGTGTAATCTCTGTGTAATGCTACTCCCTCAACTGCTAATCCTCGAACGAGGATGAGGAGGGGTCGACCAACCCTTCCAATCACTCATGTACATTGCATGCACCTGAGTCTCCTGGGTTAGTCATGCCATCTCACCTGGTGCTTAACCATTGGTTCAGGCTGTGACCTGGCAATTCCAGTGCAACACTAAAAAATAAGCAATTTTTGCTTGTTCACAAAAGAAGGAGGCGTTGAAGACAGAAGGGGCATTTAGAACATCATATAACTGTTTTATTAAAAAAAAAATAGCAAGAGTTTTAATCCTTGACAAATGATTACTTGGCAAAAAAAAACAGCAACTTACTACACAAACACACACAAAAGAAACAAAGATTTTTTCAGAGTGCAACAAAACATGGCAAGATGTAAAAGAACAAAAAATTCTAGTGTTAAATCTGTGCTGAAATACTGAACAATAGGGGTTTCCCTGAAGCAAAGATCAGATCTGTGATCAGATGGCCCTCTGCTGTTGGAATATTTTTTAAAAAACACTTTTAAATGATCTTTGAGAAGTTCTTCTATTAGATAAGCAAGCACCTTTGGGATTTCACTCTGAAAAAAATGCTTTCCTTGTTGGAAGGAAAATCTTAAGCTGACATAATCAGAAGTAGTTAACGGAAAATTCAAAAGATGTAACCTTCTACAAAAACCACCTTTCTGGAAATCAGAAAAGTACTCTAAAGAACAAAACCAGAACAAAGATGCACAAAACATCATTTTACAGCATGTCCTTTAGTCATACAGAAAAGCGGCTCGCAAGAAGATTCAGACCACCAGGGACAACGGTCTTTAAGGCAATGCTTATTGTAGATGGCACACACTAACAAGTTTGCAGTTAACTGCCGAGGAAACTTTGTCATTTAGCACCAGATTCAACAAAAGCTTTCAGTGCAGCAAATTGAGAAGGTAATGCCAGAATTGTCAGCAGGTCTTCTAAAGAAAATGGACTCTTCTTGAAAGGTGGAGAGTTTTTTCTAATTTATTTAATTAGCATTAAATAGAAATTAAAATCCACCACTGTACCAGCATCAATGTGTACGCAGTAACTTTAAGAGCAGGGACAAAAGGAATAATAATCTCAATTCATTACACATTTATTTCTTAATGGCAAGTAGAACAACGGCATAAGAACATTAAAACAGAGAAAACAAGAATTTCATAGAAGGTTCAAGAAGTACACATGCTATCTTAAGTCTTATTCCTTAAAAAAGTAAAGGTACTTCTTATCAAAGTAGCTGCTAAACAAAGATAGATTGTTAATTAAAAAAAAGAAAACAACAACAAAAAAACATTTTCATTAACAACATCTTCTACAGCATGGGCTGAAAAGGCATGGCCACCTCCAAACTACATGAATAATCATGCTATATTACTAGCCATGAACTCTTAGACTATAGTCTCATAGGTTAACAAAGAAGAAAAAAAAAAAGAGAGATGAAAAAACTCACTAATACAGCATCAAAATTACCAGAGTGTTTCAAAGGACACTCTTTTCTCTAAGTTCCTAACTTTCTAGTATAGAATTTCTACTAGTAATCCTCCTTATCGTACATCCCAAACATCAAAATGGAAATTAAGTTTGCACAGTGAAAATCATACACATACCTGTTGCAGTGCAGAGATGTCAAACATACCAATGTTTTGAATTGCTTGAAGGAACACTGGAAGGTTTTCCATTACATGCTGGACTTTATCAAGAAGAGAGCTGATACTAGAGACCACATCCAGTAATGTGCTCAGTACATTGCTCATCTCAGATGGTATCTTATTCTTGGAAGAGAAGGAAAATGCATGGCAATATTTTTCATGTAGAAGAAAGAATTTTAAACTTTTGATGAAACATTCAAAATTATTTTATTTCTAAACCTGATTATTAAATGTTCCTGCAAACCACATTTAACAAAACTCCCTAGTACTCTCAAAAGTCACCTAAAGAATTCTATCTAGAAATTCTAGAACTGGCCTAAGACAAATTAGAAATGTAAATCCAGGTAATATGCTTATAGCTGCCAAGATGGAGAGCTGTCCTACCCGACTTCCACACTAATGGTATCTGTAACATTCTGCCTCCTTAGAATCCAGTGTAAATGATATATTTTCTTTCAACAGGTTAAGAGTGCCTAGTGCAACAGTTTAATATTTTTAAAATTAAAGTTAAATTAAATCTAGTGGCTTTAGGAATCATATTAGAAAACATACTTTTCTTTCATATTGTTCCTCCCTTTCCATTTTTAGTATATAATGCCTTTTACATAAAATAATTACATGCATTTCATTCCTTCCTTGACAGAAGTTCAACTGGCCTTTTGCTGCTCTCGCCATGCATGTTTTGGCACTGAGAGTTTGCTTTCTCTCCTTTGTTTTTATAGGCCATTTTGATATTATGGTAATACAAACTGATTAAGTTATCTGCCTATGCATGATAATAAAAAACAACATAATCTCATTATATACTCCCATCTGTTTCGTCTATCTTTATTGTACCCACCTGTCTTTGAATAAGACACTTTCTACTATAATAACATCTACTCCTAATATTCTTTTCAGATTTCACCTACACTCACATATTAAAAAAAATATATACCATGCAATAAACCTGTATTTGATTAAAAACTTAGCAAAACTTCCACAATAATTTAGGATAAGCTGAATTTTTTTTAATTCTGTACTAGGAATTCATTATGCTTCGAGTTCAGTAGGAAAGACTACTGTTTTTTCTACTTTTTTGCCACTGTAGGTTGGCATTCACTCCAGAAAGCAGAATTTTATTCTTGGAAGCATTATTTTCTGTTGTTTTCTGTTGTTTGTTTGATGTTTTTTGTTGTTGCTTTTTATAGCTTTAAACGCAGCACATAAAATAAATACAGGATCTATGTTTGTCAAAATATTCTTCTTGACTATGCTATAAGTATCTTTCCACTATTTGTATTTAATAGTATTTTATTTTCAGTGACTCAAAAGATCTGAAATAAACAACTATCACCAATTCCATCTAATAATTTTTCTCTAACAAGTGGAAACATCTCACTGAAAACCCACATTCAATTCCAGATAATCTACAAATCTCAACACAGCACATATTTGCTGCAGACGTCTGCATCCCCATCATTTTAATTTTGGCACTGTATTATTCCCGTTATTTTCCAGGAGTATACAAACACTGTTTTCTATCGTAAGTTCTCTAAAACTCTTCTACAAGGGTAAATTACTGTAGAGTGTTTTCAGTTAGATTAAACAGAGTGGATGCCAACAGACAAAGCTACAATTGTCATCATTTGGTTGTGCTAAATGTTGCTAAGAACCACAGAGATGTTCTGAACCAGTCAAAGTTATTTGACTGAGATCACATGAAATATGGTTGGTTTGCCCTTACAGAAAGAGTCATCCTGTGAACTGGAAAAACATATTTACATCATTCCTGAAGAAAGCACCTGACTTTCCAGCAGAATTACTATAAAAATTATGTGCCAGGGTGATATAATTTTGTATTAGGAAATAAGTCTGTAATGCAAATCATGAGGGTTCCTATGCTTGTTTTTCATTCCAGCAATGTCAAATCAGTGTTTCACACACAAAAATTAACAAGTGACTAATTATATGAACTGCAAACTCTGCAAAAGATTAATAAAGCTAAATCTCTGATCTCTTGTGTTTTCTCTGTTGCTTTCATAATTAACTCCTCACTGATAATTTTCCTGAGGAAGCGAGGTATGGCATACAATAAGATCTATCAACCCTGTTCTTCAACTATGTTTGCTTTGCTGAGCTAAATGAGGACAAAAAGGATCACATGGCCAGTGCTAGCTTCCACAGAAAAGGACATTTGAAGCAACAAAATAATATCTTTGTTAATTGAACTATTTATCTCCCTGCATGCTTTAAACCACCTTCAAATGAAAAGCATAGGAACTGAATGATCTTACCGTGTAAATTATATGACGTAAGTTCAAATTCTGTATAATCAGTACAAATGTGGTGTACAAATCCAGTGCTGGTAAAGAACATAATTCTTCCACTGCCAGGGAGGTTTTGCTCTTTTCAGATAGCTTGAGCAAGAGGCTAAGTACTTCTTCATCACATCTTTGAGTGAAGGCTACCACAAAGGCACTGTAAAAAACCTATCACAATGTATGCATATTAAAAGTTTGTCTTCCTGGAATGCTTGACCTTCCTCTGTAGTAAATAAAATGAGAATTTCTCAAGTAACATAGCAATTTGCAGTTCTCAACAAAACTGAAAGAATAAACTATCCAGCTCTCTATTAGATTGGTATGTTCTCATTTTATATTCTTATAAACAGTTGAAGTGTGTTTCTTATAAACATTCATTTTTATTTGTGAATAAAATGGTCATTGATACCTTAAAACAGGCATATTTAGAACACTGTCTATATATGTTCTAGCAGATACACCTCCTTGTAGCAGAAACACCCAAATATCGAAACACAGATATGTGAATCATTGTAAAATCAAACAGTATGGACTTTTTTCAGACCACAGATTTAACACTTAGGGATGCCTACATGACACAGTGATCTCTCTGAGCCAGCTCACATTTCTTAGTCCAACACTCCTTTGAGGTGTTATTGTTTAACAGAAGAAGGGACAAAAACCTAAGCAGATCTACGGTAAGACTACAGTAAAATTTGCTGAGATGATTATATTCTTCTAATAAAAATGTCACAGAAAGACAAATGCTTTCAGCCCAGATATATAAGCAGTTCTTAGCTTCTCTTTCTCATGAAATGTCTGAAAGAAAGCAAATGGCAGCAAGTCCAGGAAAATGACAGTTTAGAGCCACAGTACAGAACTCAGGGCTCCATTGTAGTACTGCCTGGGACAGCATCCACTTGCACTTCTTCCATTTAATGCTGATAGCAGCACCCAGTGATGGAGATGATTCACAAGAAAACGTAACTAGGACAAAGAGTTGGCCAAGATATGATTTAATTCTTTGGTTCCTGTGAACATTTTAATGTGCAACCTTTTGAATTTCAGATTTTTTTCCATAATTCCATAGAATCATGATGCCAAATCATTTCCTATACTTTTAAATTTTCACTTTTTGTTTGTACATGTACAGAGACCAGAATATGAGTGTAAATATAATTCTGCCTGTAGCATAAAAAGGTATTGATTTGGATTTCTTGTTTTGATGAAATCTGACTGTTATGCAGTTTGAAATTCATATCCTTATTTCCACATGAACATCACAGTTTCACTCCAGTTCTTATCCATTCAGTACTTTATCTACTGGACCAAATCCTTCTGAAGTCATTTTGCAGCCTTGTGAGTACCAGAGCTATGCCAAATTCTTTATGTTCAGTAAATAAATGCTTATAATCTTGAGATTAAAGGTTTTGCATAGTTTTAAAACACAATCCCATTGCTATAAGAATGGCTAGTGCATAACACTGAGATAGAAAGCTAAGTGCAGCAAGCATGAGCAGCTTACAGGCTTACTCTTACCATCCCAGAAGCAAGCACTGTAGCACTATACTGTCACAAGACATACATGGCTGCACATACCTGTGAGTGTCATTAGTTTTTTCTGACAATGGCAACATAAACTATGCTTAAAATAGTTATAGCTTAGAAAATTATTTGTATATAATCACTAAGAGACACAGGCCTTAGTGCTCCAATTGAACAGGAGGAAGATTTAAGCGCATATACATGTAAAAAGAATTCTGTATAAATACACAAATGTGAGATGTGTACATATATCTTAACTCTACATAGTACTTTGCCAGAAAAAAAAAAAAAAAAAAAAAAATGAAGATAGGAAATCATTAGAGAATTCAGTCAATTAACATTATTCCAAAAGATCAAGGCGCACAGAATCCCATTTAACTGAATCACTTCCAGATGACTTCTCTCATTACCATTTATGGTATTAAAATAACAAACTAACAATAAAGGCAGCCCTACTGCCAAAGGAGTAGAAGAACAAATCATCTGTAAGTAGTCACAACTGTATGAGCTGCCTTTTTAATAGCCACACTTTTCACAAACCAAACTTGCAATCATTTCTGCAAATAGAACATCAGTGACATCCAGTGGCTGCCTGATTGACCTCATCAGTTTATGCCAAATCTTTTCAGTCACACAGGCATTTACAGGGAAGAAAACCTTCAGTTAGTCAGCAGTTATAATTATTTCTACTGTATGACCACAGGGATCACAGGAAACAACAGCAAATGTGATATACACAAGCCTTCCCTCAGAGAACTTATTCTGTGCACTCTTTAGACAATATACAATGGACAAGTAAAAAAGATAAATAAAAGTGAAGCAAAATCCACACAAAAAAATAAGAACAGTGAAGAGCACACCAAAGAATACAAAACAAATCTGACTACTCTGTACAAGGCTCAAATGAGGGAAGACAAAAACCAACAGAATAGCAAAACTCAAATTCAGCGTCAGCACAAAGTGAAACAGTGCTGAGAGTAATGGAGCAGACCAATTTAGGCAAGACTGGTGCTACTATAAATTGTTGTCTTAATATTTCACATTGTTGTTTTCAAGTCCCAAATCTCATAAACTTCCACATAGAAGTTACAAATGAAAACAGAAGATTCCACACATAATTCATCTTTTGTTTCAGTTGGCTCTGGGTTATTGTGTTAACACTTCTTTTTCATCTTTTACCTTTGAAAAAGAGATATTAGCTTCCAAGATGCTATTGATAGTTTCTTCAGAAATGTTGACAGAAGAAAGAATGTCCAGCCTCAATTCAGTAATATTCTGCACATAATCTTTGACTTTCATATCTGCAAGAAAATAAAAATAAGAGCTATTCAACCTGTTTAATTGAGTTCCCCAGAAACTGCAGCCTCTTCTCTAGATTTTTTATGAGAGGGCATCAAGGGCATTAAAACTTCATACTGTATAAGTTACTTCCACATCAGATTTAAAGGTCACTCTCCATAAGGAACATCCCTCAATAGTTTGTGTACTACAACATGTCTTGCAAAAAAAAAAAAATAGAAAGTAGTGACTCAAAGTGTTGAAGAAAACCATAACTCACCATTTAAAAGATTAAAATTGCTGAGAAAAGCCACCACAGGATATTCTGACAACTGTATCTCCCAATTTTCAATCAGTCTGTAATGATAAAACCATAGATTCACACTTTATCAGAATTAAATCATTGACCTCAGTATGTATATGAAGTATCACGCACAGTGAAATGGTCCTGAAGAAAAAGGTCAGACACATTATGCTCTGTGTGCACACTGCACGTGCAGAAAGCACCTCCACACACCTCAGTATGATGCTTTTATGTAATGCAGAGACTATAAAATTTCTTTCCTAAATCAGAATGTCATGATGGGAAGATGTCTATGTTTGCAGTGCTCTACAAAAAATCACTTACAGAGAAGCACGGGTGTAGTAACATCTCACTTCCATACTTTTTACTGAGCACAGAGTTTTAAAACCTAGAGATGCAAAGCATTTTCATTACAGATTAATTAATTCTAATTCTAAGCAGGGAATTCAGAGCGTTCACACTTCAGAAATTATTTGCTATTAAAACACTGGATATTCATCTACAGTCTGTGAGAAAAACCCCATTGCCCACATTCCTCCATGTTATTTCAATAATTCTCACAGACCTCTTAATCCTATTATAAAAATAATCGAACCACAATAGCAACAATTATAAGAGCAGCCACTTCTAACTGATAATTAATTTGAAATACAATTAATTTGAAATATATAGCAGTTGTTTTATTAAATCACTTAAAATCAAGTAATTAAGCAACTATTTGGAATTATTTGGAGCTCAGTCCTTACAGTTTATGAGCACTCATGAACCAAAAGATTAGATATAATGCTCAGCAAAAGTATGAAGTAACCAGAATTTTGCTAAATAGCAACCTAAATAATATCTGCATTGTATTTGCTCAATTTTCAGTTATATGAACAACAACAAAAAAAAAGAGACTCTATTAAAAGTATTTATCCTATAACTACAAAATTTAGAAAATTTTGCACAAAATAACATCTATACATCTATAACATCAACTAATAAGAACCATTTGGAGTACTGAAATGTAAAAGGCTTTACTTTTGCAAGCGTCTCTGGATGTTCTCCAACATTAGTTGACAGTCACAGTTGCCATCAGCAGTATTCTGTAAGGCTCTCAGGAAGCTCTCTACATTATTAGAAAGTTTCAGGTTTATATATGCCATGCTCTCACAGTCTCCCTTGTTGAACGTTATCCACATTTTTTCAATACTCTGCAAAACACAGCAATCATTTTGTTAGCAAATTCATGAGGTCATGTTATTGCTTGATATAGGTAGTCTTGGCAATCTAATAACGCGTATTTTCAAATGACAATATGGATAAGGTACTACTAATTTACTCACTTCATTTGAAACTGGGCAAAGATTTTCCAGAACCCAAGAGTTCTCAAAGATTTCAGTTTTGGAAATAACAAAAATTTTTGTGAATTGACCTAACATCAAGGGGGTTCATCCCATAATAGAAATTTCAACATTTTCACTAGAAATTTCATTTCAATAAGCTAGCTATTTTCTTATTTTCCATCAGCAAACTGAAAATTCTGGATACCTATATACAAGAGCTTTCTTGCATTGTGCTTTGTGTAGTTTTCACTTATTTTTTCTCCTGAATATTCACATTTCTGATCTTGCTACTTTATTTTTGCAGAAGTTTGTCACAGTACAGTGGAGTCTAGAGAAATACATTTCTTCAGCAAATGCCTACTTAAGATATGAGTGCTGCTTCTTTTGCCTGTTTACCTTGAAACGATGAATTTCCATTCATGTCAGCAAGTCCTATAGGTAGACAAAATACAAACTAGAAGAACTATTTCATGAAGAGAGGAGGTAAATTCTGCACTAAACGCATGAAGTGAGTATTTTGTACGTGTGTGTACATGCACAGATGTGCACACATCTGTGTGTGATAACCAAAGCTCTGGATGAATCAAACTAAATGCCAGATGGTGCTGCCTCCTAACCCGGATTGCAGGTAATTTCATGCACTGTTAAAAAAATAAAAATGTGGACTCCCATCTGGTAACCACAATTGCCATTTTTAAATTGAACAGCTCTGTATTTAGCTTGATTTTCCAGCTGTTCCTGTAAAAGTTGTAAAGTATAAATGTACTCTTATTCCTGAGATTAGCACATCATAAAATTTAGAAAAACTAAAATGGGCTGCTGTTTGGTACTGAATGGCAATTCAGTTATTCTAGTTACTGCAATTCAAGTTATATTTACAGCTTTTAAAGCTCATTAATTTGAGGAATTCCTTCTGTGTATCACTATAACATGCCTTAGAACTACACCCATACAAACATCAGTTTCATATAGCCCTGTGGGGACAGATAATTTCAAAAGCAGGAGAAAAAATCATCTGACATTAGTCTCCCAAGTATAACATATTCTTTAAACAACACCTCTAGGGTGAAAACTGTTCAAACCTGATAATGGTCTTGAACCAGAGTGATTCCTTCAATTATAGAGACTACTAAGTGACGCATTATGCCATCTTTACACTTCATAACAACACAGAAAAGGTTGCTAGTGACAACTGGTTCTTCTGTAAGAGAAAGAGTCCAAAGCTTAATCAGTTAAATATATCTATATATTGGTCAGCAAATGAAAAATTAACCAAACAAAAAGGAACAGAAAAAGGTGGATTTTTTTATAAAAGCAAATAAACACAAAAGTCTGATGTGTTTAAGGCATTAAGAAATATTTCTGACCAACTTTATTTTCCATTAGAGTGCAAGAAGAGCTTGTTAGATTAAGTTCCCATTGCTGTTCACCATTACATAATAAGAAATTATACCCTTATGTCAATACAAGGCCTTTCTCAATGTGTTCAAATTTAATGCCAACATGAAAAAGTAAATCAAAGGTATTCATACAGAATAATTTTGTTCAAGTTACTCAGCTGTAGCTAGCCAATCCACTGCTTTAGTGGTGTTATAGTCTACCCATAATCTACACAGAAGCAGGAGGTAAAACTTCCTTTATACACTTGCTCGGTTTTTCTTTTCTATTAGCTGAATGCTGCCTGGCACCAATTCTTGATCATTAAAAACCTCCTTAATTTTATTCACTTCATTAATCTAATAGGAAAAAATCCAACCAAAAAGAAAAAAAAAAATGGGACAAAACCCAAATGCCTACACAGACTTCCATTTGTTCTGTGAGTTGAATCAAGGAAAGAAGGAAGAGGTCCTGGTGAGTAAGAGCAAGCCGAGGAAGCAGGGAAAGAGTACGTCGCTAAAAATGATAGAAGAGAGAGGAGCTGCAAGACCAACTGCTTTCACTGAGACTTTTAATCATTATGGCCACTCCAGAAACCATCCCTCTATGAGATCAAACTGTTTTCCTGCACTTTTGCCGGTTTCATTTCCCTGCAATAGTATGCTTGCACTGCTCTGCGTTGCCCAAATTAATCCATTTTTATAAACGTTTTCTCAGAGTAAAGTCTTAACAATACAACTAGTGCACACAGTGATCCAAACACTCACAACCATGGTAACCAACCTGAGAAGATTTTAAGAATATTCAAAATGGCAAACTGCAACTTATGCAATAGTAGAACACTAGCAGGTTGTAAATGTTTCTGAAGAATTTGGCATATTTTAGATGCTCTGTGGAAAGATTAATGAGAAAGTGTTATTTTCATAATGAGTGTACCATAACAACTTTCCAGTGACTACGTACAACTGCAATCATTAATGAACCATGGTAGGATTTTAATATTAACAGTTATATGACTAGCCATTAATCCAATACTTGCCTGAACTGTTGCAGAATCAGAACATAATGTTTCCATGGAATTAAAAAACAGTTTTTCATCAAGATAAAATATCATCAAGTATTTTAGTAAAATCATACCTGTTGTTAAGCTAGTTTTCAGAAACACATTGCTCACAGTACCTTCTGAATTGAGAGCAAAGAGCAGAACACACAACACCTCTAAAATCAGCATTTTTGGAAAAATAAACCACATTTCTAGCATTGATTTTCATTTTTCAATGGATTGGGCTAATAGCATATTTGCATAAAAATGAATCTCAAATGTCTAAACAACGTATTAGAGTCACACAACAACTGCATTACACTGTTTTTCTGTTAGGCTACATGAGTAGGTCACATCAGCAAGACCACATAGAACTGCCTGAAGCAACCTTCTCATGAGATTCACTGAACATTACTTAAATGCAGCAACTCTGGTCTAGCAGCACTTCTATTAAATAAGTTGTTAGTAAATATTTCCCCAAAGGAGAAATCCTCTGCTGCTACCTTAGATTATATTTGAGGAACCTGACAAAAGTGATCACAGGCTGTTTCCTTCAGAAATTACATTTCTCAAACTGAACACCTTAATATGTACACATTATGGTTAATACAGATGATTGTGTACATACGTATAAAACTAAATGTATCAACTATATATTATATATATTCATATATTGACTGAAAAAATTAATATTCAAATACGTGTGTGTATATATATATATATATGTATAAAGTACACGTACTGTACTCATACCTTCTAAGGGACGTATTGTTTGCATAAGACATCATCAATTTAAGTTATTTTTATTCAGTCTTGGTCTCAGTTTTCAAAAGGATTTCTCAAAACACCAATAGAAACTTTTTTGTTTTTTTCCCCTCACATCAAGAACTAATCTCTTCCTGAATTTTCTCATCACTGAAGAAAATGAATACAGATGCTGTAATCTGTTTTCTGTTTTCTAGTACGCAAAATCAATTGCTTGAAGTGTTAGTGCAGGAACCTGAATTACTTTGTGTATGATTTCAAAGCACTTGTTCATTCAAACCCTGAGGCCTAGTCACAAGAAAATGAAGAGTTTGTCAGTTGTAAAAACTTTGAATAAAACTGTGGTTCAGTTTTCAGAGCTGCAAAGTCTTTAAAGCAACTAAGTTCTTGAAATAGTTGATCCTGTAATTCCAAAGAAATCACCTTGATCATCAATACAGATTACTAAGCACATCAAGAAATTGAACCATATGATATAATTTGATACAAAATTCGACTAGTGTACACAAAATAACATGAAACATGATGTTGTTTTATACAAAGGTACAAATGTGAAATACTATAGTAATAAAAAATTGAGCAAGCTGCATACAAAGAGTTATCTTATCACTGCTGGATTTTGCCACGTGCTGAAAGTAGTACATAGAAATTGCTTACCTCAAATCCTTTACTAAAGCTATTTTATTCCTGTTATGTTCTGTGAAATATGCAAATGTAGTTTGCAACATTTCTTGCATGATCTCCAGAGTTCTGTTTTGTGACAGAGTAGAAGCATTTTTGTATTGTACATTATCAAAAAATGAATCAATGAAGTCAATTATCTGAAGCTCAGTATTGTTTGCATGCAGAGCTTCTTTTGTAACAGCAAGGTCAGCAATCATATGAAAAAGAAAGTTTTGAAAAACTGAATTAGCGATGTAAGTAGTATTCAGTATTTCTCTGCTAAGATGATCATCAACATACAACATACCGGTGTAATCTTCTTTAGATTTATTTTGGAATAGTTCCAGAAAGTCAATAATATCTTTAACAACCAGCGGTAGATCTGATGATTTTTCATTAGCCATAAGAAGGACTAAAGGTTGCATCACTTTAGAATAATTTTGATTATTACACTCACACAGAAAGCTGTTCATAATCTCTTGTATGTCTTCAAGTTTTCTTAACACAGCCTCTACAGATGATGTATTAAACTGCTGTATTAACGCATCAAAAGTCACTGAAGGGGACCGTCCAGTGGCTAATCTTAGTAGCTGAAACTCTTGGTCTATCACTGCAAGTGATTGTCTCACATTAAAATTCAACAACAAATCTTCTATACTTTTAACTACAGGAAACCAGATTTTCTCAATGTTATCAGATATATTGTTGTTCCCATTTAAAGATGATAATGCCGTAAGTACCGAGTAAGCTTGGTTTTCAACAGAAGACAAAGTCATGAAAGGCTGAACTACAGAAAGAAAAGAATAGACAGTTTCTGTATCCAAGAGTCCAGAAACTTCAGTTGTCATGTTCATGACATAAGAAAAAACAGTCTCTATAAGTGATATTTTTGAGTGCCTGCTCCAGCTTAAACCACCATAAAGAACATTCAGCTGTTCAAGGACATATTCAGACATCTCCATTTCTGCTGCTGGCATACTACTCAGAGTTTCTATGATTTGTAAAGCCACTTTTCTCTTTGACGTGGAGGAACAGTTGACAGTTGAATCTGTATTATTTTCCTGCAGAGGCACAGCATAGAGATATAGCTCATTCCAAAAAGCTAGCAGTTCTTTAAGAAGTGAACCGTTTACATGATGGAGCTCAGAAAACTTCAGAAGAATAGAGTTCCATTCTTTAATCTGATGAATAAAGCAAGTGAGATTGTGAGTAATATCAGTCTGAAAGTCTTCCATAGTGCACAAGAAACTGTCATTCAGAGTAACAAGTTTCAGTTCTTTGACGATGTGTAAGACTGCATTGTGATTCAGAGAAAAATTACTTTGCATAAACTCACAAGGTTTGGAAGAATTGGGATCACTCTGAGGTGTTACCATTTTGAGAATCCAGCAGAATTCTGCAGAAAAACAAATTGAGGCCTCTGCAGGTTCATCAGGCACATCTGTCAGTGTCTCTAATAACATTAGTAGACTTTCTACTTGATTAGAGATTTCTTCTTTGGTAAACATTGACATTTTTGCTTCTTGAGTCAGTGCAAAAGTATACACATCAGCTAGTACTTCTGTGATGTTCCCATGAGCTAGACTTTCCATAAGGCTGATGACATCAAGGAGAAGATGGAACATCTCTTCTACATCAGAGAGATCCTCTTGAAAAAGTTGTGTGATATGCCATAAACCAGTCAGGTTCCAATTACATGAACTGTTCTCAAATGCATCCAACCAGCCTATTAACATTCCTAATTCAGGATTCTCCCTGTACAGAGGTTTGATATTTTTAAAGAAACTGTCCAAGCTCATCTGGACTTGTTTGAATTGACCTATCAAGAAGTCAATATCCATATTCTTCAGATTTTGCACTAAGGTTATCATGTGCTCTAGAAACTCTCTATCATTTCTTATTGGAAAACTAGTAAGGCTAGAAGACTTGAAAATTTTGAGTGCCTTTCCTACCAGTTTACTATTCAGAGCTGCTTTTTCTGTCAGTCTCTTGAGAAATGTGTTGTATTCACCCTGCAATTCATGAGGCAAGTTTGAACTGAATGTATTGAATTTACTAAGCACAGCTTGAAAGATCTCCATCAACAAACTGATATTTTTCTCATCAAAGAAAGAGGAGCTGCTTTCTTGCATTTCAGAAGTTTTGTTTTCAAGATGATGTTGAATTTCTGACAAAAGGTCTATTGAGGAAAGCCAAACACTGTGGAAGGGATTAAGGAAGGGCACTAAAGTACTGTTAGATCCATGGACTGAGTGATTGAAATGGGTATCATTTGATGTATTTTGTGAGTGACCCATTAAATTATTCACAGCCACTTGTATTAGTCCTCCAGAATTATTTAAGAATGTAAAAATATATTCAAGCACATTAGTGTCATTTTGTACATTAAATTCAGGGAGAACGACTTCTAAAGCTCTTCCTATAATATTGAAATAAATGCTTACACAAATCACATCAGAACCAGTTAAAGAGCACTCAGGGATCATAACATTGAAAATCAAATCAAGGAAGTTCACAATGTTTTTTAGCTTAGCATCTGTCTGAGTGTTTCCCAGAGATTTCATTAGAAATAAAATATGTTTTGCATTTTCAAAGTGAGAAGGTGACTTGTATTTTTCACTGAGGTAATGAAGTACATGGATCCACCCATCACAATTCTCTACTCCTTCTATTACGCTGTAAGATTTGAGGAAGGAATGAATATAGGATGAAAAATTCACTTGTGTATAGTTTATGTTTTTCAGAGTACTGTCAAAAATTAATTTTGTAATATTCTGTAAAATGCTGGCACAAACCAAATATTTATCTAGAGGTGCATATGTTAAGAAAGCAGCAGCGTCCTTTATCTCAGCAAGAACAAATCCAAGTTCCTTTTGGGAGAGTTTGAGAATAGTAGAAAGTGAATTCCCAATGGAAAACTCACTGGAACTCCTTTCTCCCTCAGATCCTCCCGAGATGAACATATTAAGCCAAGAATTCAAAAGGTCTCTATTAACAACCTTTAGTATAGATTGCTGCAATTCAGTTATCACAACTTCAGTCATTTCTAAAACATCATCTGCACTGTTACCTTTAAATGAGCTTGCATCATCAATTGCATTTTCAAAAACATTCTGAATTATGGAAAAGTAAGTTTCAAAATCTTTCCAGTCACTTGAATCACCACCTTCAACTATCATTTTCAACAGATTCATTGCTGATGTAGCTTCAACAATAGCCATAGTTGTTTTATTGCACAGTTCAATATGAGTTGTATTTAAAATTCTTTCAGAGAGGTTTCTCAAATCATTTCTTAGATAGACAAAAAAGGTTGAATTCAATTTTAAGATTTTGGATGTTTCTTCAAAAATCTCTGTCCAGATTTGAAGCCATGTAAAAGTGCAATGAAAAGCAGAAGATACACTTACCTCATCTTCCAGTTTTGTTATATTATACAAAACACTGTCCAGTGGAAGCAGAAGGAGATTGTAAACCTCAGCAGAATCATTTACAGAACTGATGTTTGATAGATAAAAGCCAATGCACCCATTATTTACAATGCATTCTGGGGAGATGTCAAAAAATTGTTCCAAATAACAAAAGGCAGATTCTTCAAGGTCTTCATCTGAAAATAAGGTTTTAAGGCTGCTCAGAATATTATAGACAACTTGCAACTCTTTTTTGTCTTCCTGTACAAAAGACCAGGCCTGAAATTCTGTGTAATTGTAAAAGGTCAGTAATTTTTCACAGAGTGACTTACTGGTAAAGTTCCAGAGAAGATCAAAAGTTTGAGATAGAAAATCAGAAACTCGGTCCATATCTTGGAAATCATTCCATGTTTGAAAGGATGAAATAGCTTTTGAGGTGTTATAAAGAAACATCAAAGTGTTATTGCTCTCAGCTTTTAAGAGCAGATCAGCATTCTGATACAAAGAGAAAAGTATCTGAAGAAGCGAGTCCACACTACTACTGTTTAATTTTTGAATGTCTTTAAAGAAACTGGGAACAATTTTGCCTAACTCTTGTACTTTATATATAAAAGTTGCATTTGACAGTAATGAAAAGGAGGTATTACTCACTCCATGACCTATGCTGAAAGATGCATTGACATGACTGTCAGCCAATGATACGATCTCATAGAGATTCCTTAGAAAGTCTTCACTTAAGTATTTTAGATGGTTCAAAGTAGGACTATTTAAATCTTGCCAATCTGCTAGGATATTTTTGAGCAATTGTATGCTTCTATTATGACTGTTTTTATTTTCTGTAACAGAAGATATAAATCTAGATGAAGACTCCAGTACCTCTTCAACTTCCAATTGACTTACGTGAGAAACCCTAGAATCAAGTTCATGAGACACAATTTTCACCATTTGCCAGAAAAAATCTGTCTTCTTCATCCAAAATCTCAGATGAACCTGTAAATTTTTTTGTATTTCATTATAGAGTTCAGAAACTGCAAGTGAGACATTCATCATGGATTCCTTTCCTTTCATCCACATAATCACATTACTTAAGGCAGTTTCCATTAGAGGTCGGAGGCCTGAAAGAGCTGAGAAGTCAAACACTACAATTTCTTCTATGATTTCTGCAAGATGTAAAATGTCATCCATTTCCTTTTCACTTGAAATCCATATATTTTCTTCTGTCTTCAAAAACTCTTTTATAGATGTTAAATTCCTGAAATATTAGGCACAATTGTTTTTTCTCATTAGTTACCTAGCAAGAGTTGAATAAATATATATATATTGTAATTTTAGAATATAGTTGTATTTACTTAAATCAAAGAAAGATAAATTATTATTCAAACAGCAGTGAAAAAGTAATTACTACAAGACTTGAAATAGCTTAACTGGTGATTACTTTGGTTTTCAAAAACAAGGCAGAAAAACATGAAAAGTCACAGACATATTTAAATTAAAACCTGAATATAGGTATCTAGGTTACAAAAGAGTGCATTTATCAGCACTTATAATTAACTGTGTAAGCCACGAAGAGTCAAACACCTTTTGTTTTAAGTACCTAATACATTCTGAGGTTGAAGATAATTTCTCCTTAAGTATGTTTTTTTAGTACTTAAAAAGCAGAAAGCCACATACACAGCATTATGAATGTTTGTGAAGGATTTTGTGTCCCCTTATGTTAGTACTATTGTAGAAAAAAACTATTGCATGCTGTAGAAACAGTATTTCAGATACTACATCTTACTTACAAACATTTAGTTGATACCCTAAATATTAAAATCATTTAAGATTTTAAACTCAAATCATCAGTTGTTTCTAGAGCCCATTTTAAATTAAAATGCTTATCAAGTTCTGTTTCAATGAAAAGCACAACATGGCCTGTTTAAACAGTAGAGGCAACATTCCAAAGTATATTGAAGACAACATATGTCACTTTTAAACTTTCAGTTCTTCATCTTCAATTGCAATGACGATGGGTTTTTTTGTTTGTTTTACTTTTGTTTTGTTTTGTTTTTCCATTTTACAGGCTAAACAAGGGATTGAAATAGCAGAGAGCTAAATAGCTGCATAATGAAAAATAAAGTCAGAGTCCAGAAATGTAACTTATTAATAAGAATGCTTTCTAACTGTGATCATCTGCAAAGCACAGTAAACAGTTAATAGCATTAAATAGCAGAGGCAACTAGTTTGAGGCTGTTCCATGAGGTATATTTTTTTTCCTGTTTAAACAGAGTGGTGATGAAATATCTTCTGTTGTAATGTTCATCAGAAACATAATGTAACTGTCATAAGCAGGCTTTCTAACAACACGTTACCTACATTGCTTCCCAGTAACACTGAACAGGAAGAAAATTGCACAGGAATTGGAAGAAAATGGCACAGTAACTATGTTAAAGAATTACAAGTGTCCAAAGTAGAGATGGGGTAATGAGTTCCACAGATAAAGAAATTACATTGACTAGTTCAACCTTACCATGCCCAGGAAATAAATGAGGAATAATCTGGTAAATCTTGCAGAAATGCTAATAAATAATGCCCTAAGATAGTCTCCAAACCAAGTTTCTGACTAGAACATAGAGATGCTTCAAATCCACCTGCAAAAAATAAAAATTTCAATACCAAAAGATAGATCAAGGAAACTTTATGAACAACTTGATCATCTCACATTGAAATAGCCTGAAAAGCTACTATCAGATGTAGCAGGACTTGTATTTCTGTCTGTGGATAATCATTAAAGTAGATGTAAAAAGAATGAAATATGCAATTTTTAGTAAAGGATTTTATCTTAATTCTAATTCTATTTAAACAAATGAAATACATTATCAATAAATATCAGCTCTACAGAAGACACATCTGTATCAGTCAATCTATTAAAGAAAAAAAGGAAATATAGACAATATCTTTTGAACTAAACTGCAGAAAGACTAGAAAAAAATAAATTAATTTTGTTACGTAAAAAGTGCACTTAGTGCTGCACTCAGAAACTGAAATATACTTTACTATTTTTTTCTCCTTGAAATTACATTAAAAAAGCAAGCAGTCTTGTGAAATTCAGTTATTAATACCTATGAACCCAAAATACCTGAAACGTAATTGGTTTTTAAAATTGTGCAATCAGTGCAATTCATATTTTAACAGTTTATTTCACTAATACAGTTTTTTGATTAAAGAAAACTGGGTTTTTTTGTTGTTTTTTTTGTTTTGTTTTGTTTTTTTGCATTTCATTTCTTAGCAGCCCACTTACTGATGAAGTATTAAGCACATTTCTGATTAGCTTTATGAACAAAATGACAGAGGGCAGAAAAAGGAAAATGTCTGGAAAAAACATACCCATAGCAAGATCAAGGCCCTTCACAAA